AAAAAATTATTTCTTGAGTCTGTAATGATCATCGGTCCATTACTGTCAAGTAATCAAGTTTGATTACTTGATTAGCATTGTATTAAGGTTGATGGGGGAGTTGCTTTGGTGATAATAGAGTTGTAAAATTTGTTAAGTTGTCTCACTTTTGCTCAATGATGAGAAAAGCAGAGGGGCGGTCAGAACCTAATGCCGTGTTGAGTGTCTGCAAATGTTCCATTTTTTGGAATGTCTCTGAGAGGACACTGCTTCTTGTTGGTTTCAAATGCATTGAGATTGTATATGTTCATCCTAATTTGTGAGGTTTTTTCATATTGTGATGTATTCCATGGTTTATGTTTACTTTTTATTTTATTTTTTATTTTATCGTGGCTATGTTTGAGCAAGTGAATTTGTAATGCTATAGTGTTACTGTTATCCTTTTGCTGATACATGATAAGTAATTCTATTTTTCAAAAAAAAAAAAAAGAATATCAAGCTGAGTAAATACTTATTTAATTATTATCATCTTAAATTTCGGAAAACATTTTTTTTATGGAATAAATAGGGACCGTACCATGTTTGGCATCAAAAGGAATTTCTTTCCTTTTTCCTTTTTTTTTTATCGAATTTAATACGTTGACGGTGGTGAACTCTTCATATTTTTTTGAACTCATACTTGGAAATAATAATTACGAGTGTGAATCCAGTTGGGACATTTTGGACTATATTGTTTTGGATTTGTCTTATTTTATTTAATTTTAACTCAATTCATTTAATTAAGAGTAATGTTATAAAATTCAAATAAAACCCAAAAAATTAAAACCCAAATGCATTTTATCTTTTGGATGAGTGCATTCCACCAATTTTTTTAATGGGACCCACTCATCCCACACTCATATAAATGATGATATGTATTTGGATTTTAACATTTGAATTTCATTTGAATATGCATATTTTACGCTTTTCTTAGGCATCCTTGCAGATTTCAAATCTTTTGCAGCTACTATACTATCGTGTATCGTGTATTAAAATTCTTGTAACTCAGTTTAATGGTTTATACAGATGTGCTAGGAGATTTTAGCACTCACCGTCATTAGGGAGAATATCACCGTCACCTACAAGCAACACCTACTTGCCGTTGATTCTCTTGCAGCCATTGGTAAGTATTATGCCTTTTATGCAATGTTTTTTACGTTTATTGAATTTTTGGTTTGATGTAAAATTGTAGTTGGGTTTTGTTTTTTGAAATTTGGGTTGAATTAATCAGGTTTTGGAAAAAAAAAATGGGTGAATTTGAGCATGATATAGTTGCCCATAGTGGTATAAATGTAGCATCTGAGGTTGAAAATGTGGATACAGATGATGCAAATGTTTAGTTTGAGGTTGGAAATGTGGAAACTGATGTGGGAGATAATGATAAGGAGGACGATGTATATGGTTTTAGTTCTGAGGATGATGATTGGAGAAGCGAGGGTGATGATGTTCCTGATTGTAGGAATGATTGCCAATATGTTGGGCCAATTAACACATGTGAGGAGTGGGATGCAAGTAGTGATGGTTTCTCAGATTATCAATCTGGGAATGAAGGTGGTAGGAGTAGTAGTGATTCTGATGATGTACAGTATATGAATGGTGGTAACAAGCGAAAGAGGAAATCCAAAGTGTATGATACATCTGAATATTAGACTGAGTTTCATGTTGAGAATGGTGGAAACTCTGACTGAGATTTCTGTGTGGGGATGTTGTTTGAGAATGTTGATCTTTTTAGGGATGCTTTAAGAGACTACATCATTAAAAAAGGGATCAAAGTGATTAGAAAGAAAAATGAGAGGACTAGGGTCACAGTGCATTGTGCTGCTGAAGGGTGCAAATGGAGGATCCATGCATCACCTCTTCCAGATCAGGCTACATTTAAGGTGAAGAGTTACAAAGGTGAGCATAACTGTATTAGGTATAGGAAGGTAGATGAGACAAACAACACTTGGATTGCAAAACAGTTATAGGGGTCATCAAGAACAACCCAAAGATAACATTGGAGAGTATGCAATCTGAATTGAATGATCGATGGGAAAGTAAAAGTAATGGTAGTAGGCTTTATAGGGCAAAAATGAGGGCTATAGAAGCAATAGAGGGTAATTATAGCCAGACATTTGAGTTACTACCAGCTTATGTTAGACAAGTTTTGAAAAGTAACCCTGATTCTGTTGTACTTATTGATTATTTTAAGCCTTCAGTGAGTGTTAATCTCATTTTCAAGAGATTTTTCATTTCATTTGGTGCCATGAAGAGGGGGTTTAGAGAAGGTTGTAGGACTTTCATTAGTGTTGATGGTTGTCACCTCAAAGGGTCATATGGTGGGGTTCTTGTAGCTGCAGTAGCACTGGATGGGAATAAAGGATTATTCCCAGTGACATATGGAATCGTTGAAAGTGAGAGAACGGAGAGCTGGGGTTGGTTTCTAGACAATCTGCATGCAGTTATTGGTGCTGGGGACAGGTCCCAACCATGGACCTTTATGTCTGACAATCAGAAGGTATTCTGTTTCTATTTCTGTGTTTCTGTTTTTGTTTTTTATTATTCTGTTTTTATTTCTTTTAATAAGTCTTATTATTCTATTTCTATTTTTTGTTATGAACTTAGGGACTTGATAAAGTGTTTGAGAAGATTTTCCCAGGATCTAAGCATAGGAGATGTTGTGTGCATCTCTTCAATAATTTCAAGTCCAAGTTCCCTGGACTATTACTTAAAAAAAACTTTTTGGAGGGCTGCTAGGGCCTATAATGTGGTAGGGTTTAGGGACAACATGGAGTTAATGAAGTTACATGACTCTAATGCTTATAATTGGCTTATGAAAATCCCTGTACATACATGGGCTAGGCACACATTTGATGAATCTGTGAAAAGTGATCACATAACCAATAACATGTGAGAATCATTTAACAACTGGATTGGACTGAATAAGCATAAGCCAATACTCACTCTTTTGGAAGGAATTAGATGCACGTTAATGGTGAGATTTCAAAAAAGGTACCACAAAGGATGTGCATGGGAGGGATTAGTCACCAAAAACATTAAGATACAATTGAAAAAAGTTGTTCAGGACAGTATGAAGTGTCTTGTATTATTTGCTGGGAACTTGGAATTTGATATAAGTTATGAGGGAACACGATATCCAGTCAATTTGGCAACTGAGATGTGCTCTTGTAGACAATGACAGATATCTGGGATTCCTTGCATTCATGCAGCAGCTGCAATAGGATCCCAAAGAGAAAATATTGAGAAGTATTGTCATAGAAGTTACACCAAAGAGGCTTATTTGCTTGTTCATGGAGATATGATCCATCCAATTGTGGATCAGAAGATGTGGGATCCAATGGCAGAACCTCTACAACCTCCACCCCTGCGCAGGCTACTTGGAAGGCCTAGGACCAATAGAAGGAGAGCTGTAGATGAGCCAGCAGCTGGTACAAGTGACATGAGGAGGTCCCAAACAATAAGGTGCCAAATTTGCGTACAACTTGGGCATAGCAAAAGAACATGTCAAAGAACACTAGTTAAAACGAAGGGCAAAAATGGTGGTGTGACCAATAGCAGCCAGGTAAATAACATTCTACCTATTTCATTGGAATGCAATTGATGTATTTTCTAATTGTCTTCTAATGTGTAGTGCAATGAAGGACCAACAACATCACAAACAGCTGGATCACAAAGTCATGCTACTGCCTCACAGGCAACTTCCCAAGTAAACACAGTTGAAAATTCGACTGTAATAGAGGGAGGGGTAAGGGGATGTGGCAAGGGGGCTCAATCAATTGGAGTTTAGAGGCTTGGAGGAGTATAGATGTGCATATGTTATTTTTTGTAGAACAAATATTTTTTGTCTGAGAGGGGTTAGGGCACGTTATTTTTTGTCTGGGGGTTAGGGCACATGTTATTTTTTGTGGGACAAATATTTTTTGCTGCAACACCATGTAATATCTTTTGTCACTGCCCAGTTCTATATGAAATATTACACCATTTTTTCATTTGAGTTGAACATGAAATACATAGATACATGTGTACAGGGAGGCTAACCCTTGTTATGAGGAAAATTTTTGTTTGATACGGAAAATCAGATTTCTGTTTTTTACTACAACACCATGGAAAATTTTTGTTTGTAACAAAAAATCATATTTCTGTTTGTAACTAGAAATTTTTGTTTGATACAGGCTAATCCCTGTTATGAGGACAAGTAATTTTTTCCTGTTTTGTAATAGTTTTTTCGTTTTGCTTGTAACAGAAAATCAAAACTTTTTTTTAACAGGAAAAACAGGAACTAGAATTTTTGTTTGTAACAAAAAATCAGATTTCTACTTGAAAATCATATTTTTGGTAGAATTTTTGTTTGTAATAGGAAAATCAGGAACTGTTTTTTGCTTGGTTGATTCTTTTAATAAAATGTCTTAGTTTTAAAAACATCCCAAAGCTTTAATGGAGAGAGAGAGAGAGGGTATTTACACAGGTTTACAGTGGGTTCAAAAGCTCTACAAGTGAGTTGTTCTGTGTTTTTAAAGTACATTGAGGAATATAATAGCCTTTCTTTTATATATTTTTGAAAAAATTTTAATATATAATACTTAATCTTACTATTGAGGGTTAATTTTGGAATTACAAGGGTTTTTTAAGGTGATGTCACTCTTTTCCGTCTTCATTATTGACGGCCATGGAACGGAAGGGTGTTCGTGTCATTAAGACAAAACTCAGGGGTCCGACTGATTTTTACCCTATTATTTACCTTTATAAATAAAATTATGCCTCAGTGGCCACGGGCCGGGCTTCGATATCAAAAACTTTTAAGGCTGGGCTAGGCAAACCTAGTAATGGGCCCAAAAACATCACACCAAGAAAAAATTGGGACAATACGTGATTAGTGCTTGACCATGGCTTGAATGTTACAAGTTCTGACTTATGGGAATAGTCACTTAGTATAAGGTAAGATTGGATCATTCCCATCCGTAATGAGAAAAGTCTACTTAGAATGCCATTTATATGCGAAAAAAATAACAAAAAGGATGAACAAGGTTTTCCTCACCATTAATATTAACAGTTCTATGTCTAAATCCTTCAGCATTGGATAAAGGATAAATCCTTGGACTCTTCAGCTGTGCTAAAAAAAACAACTCCACATTGATGCTGAGCAAAGGTTCCATTTTTTTTTTTTTTTTTTCATTTTTCATCTTGGGAGATTCAATCTCACACTGGACCGGACGAGTGAGTCTCTTGGAGGCTACCCGACCCACCCGGGCTGGGGGCAATAGGATTTTCAGCTTTCTCAATGGCAGTCTTTAGCTCCAGTTGAAGGCTTGCCCTTGTTGGTAACATAACCATGTCATTCCAAACTGAACCAGGCTGGAATATGAGTTCTGGCTGCTTGTAGAGCTCATATATGGACTCTGCTTCATCGTTCAAACTGCTTACCATGGTCAAACACTTGATTTCATCTGGATCAATGAGCAGCTTGTGGTCTCCATCTTTCCATGCTATCAACTGCATTCAAACAAAACCGGTCAGCCAATCACATAATTACAGACTCCTACTTTTCTCTGTACTCGTGCTTATAATGTAAATTCTGAACATGTACAATAACCCACAAATTACGTGCATAGGATAAACTAGATTTGAAAATCACAATCATGAGGTTACTGCTATTATAACTATGTACTAACTACCAAGAGGCAAAGATCATTTGACCAAATCCTATAATACTATGCATCACATAAATATAGCCGATAAAAAAAAAAAAAGATAAGTGTACCCTTGGTGGGCTCCCAACAGCATTGGTGCAATAAAGCCTTGCATGATCAACAAGTTGACAGTATGTTGGGAATGCAGTTGCAAATCTCTTGTGGGATTTCAACTGTGACTTCACCCTCACAGCTCTTCCCATATCTATAGCTCTCCTGCATGGATAAAGAATATAAACTACTTATTCACCATGACAAAGTAATCTAGACTTGAGATAGATATCAGAGAGCATGAAGTTTTTAAGACTGATAATGAGTCGTATCGTATCGTATTGTGTCTAAGTCATGTTGTGTGAAAAATTACTCAATCCATGCCGAACCTATTTATAGTAATCAGATTCGTCTCCCTCCAACCAACAAACTTATTCTCATAATGATAACAGTCAACTAATTGATAAGAACTGTTCAAAGAAAAAAAAAACTAATTGATAAGAGCTTCAAAACTATTTTCCAAAAGTTCAAAAATAGAAAGACAAAAAAACCAAAGGTAGCCAATAATAAAGTTCCACATGTATAGCTAACAATTACCACATGTTTATGAAAATGAACATGTTGCGTTAAAATTCACTACTATTGCATGTGGTGACTTTTTACTGCATACATGGTATTTTGTTATTGGACGGTAATGTGTTTTTGACAAGTTAATATCACCGTTGTATTAAACATTTACTCAACATGACAACTGTTGTCCCCCAATGACCGACATGGGTTCAATTCTCACTGAAGCTTTACGGCCACCTCTTATTCCTCCCTTTGATATAGAATAATATTCTGTAATTTATTTTGCTCATGAATAAAAAATGAAAAGAGAAAATCAATTATAAAGTCTGCGCTCAACATACCTAATACCTCTAACAACGGCTAGATAAACGTCACAAACAACCCCAACCAACTCTATTCTATATGGCTTCGTCTCAGCTTCTTCTTCTTCTTCTACCTTTTCCCAATAATTTTCAGTAATGGTACCGTCGTCTTCAACCTTGTAGCCAACTCCATGCGGTAGTGATGTTTGTGAACATTTCGAGCCATGTCAATCATCTGCTCAACAAAAGGCAGCCATGATAGGGTGCCGTCCATGATCACATCCCGCCCTTCGTTGAGTGCTGCTACTAGGAGTGATGATGCAGCATCTGTGGATGATTGGTGCACCTATTTCAAGTAAGAAATTATAAGTTCACGTCAGATTATTGCATCTTAGGAAAACTCAAAGGTACCAAGTTTGGTACCTTACCTTCCATGAAAATTAAAAATATATGATCAAATTGCGTCAAATTATAACTCAAACAAGTCAATTTTTTAGATTAATCTCAACAATTTAGAATCAATCTCAAATGACCCCCATTGATTCGAAACTAATGCAATTTGAGTAATAACTTGGCACCAGAAATTAGACTTTCCCTTGCATATTTCTTATCTCAAATGGAACCTTCATGGTTGTTGTATGTATCCAGTTGGGCTACATTTACACACATTAGATCACCTAGATGCCCTAAATTTATAATTTATGTGCATATCATCAAAAGACAGGGTCAAAAATATTTCTTTGACTTGTTCAGTAGACAAATTAGTACATGGCAACCCAAAATTTAGGTGTGAAAATTTTGTGTACTGCTGCATCACCATGAGAACTGTGTGATACAACCGAATCCTTATAGAATCTCATTCTCATAGTGCATCTGATTGGGACCGAAATTCACCATCTAATTTTCGACTCAAATTGAGAGGATCTGAACAACGTAACAGACTGTCCCAAGCTATAATGCTTTATTTTTTTGGGAGTACAATAGAAAAATGGTACCCAGGTATCAAAGTCTTATGTCAAGAATGATGTGTCCTAACTCATGCAGCCATGTGTTTGCATAAATGTATGTTGTATTTTACAAAGAAATGTTACCAGTTCAGCAGTTTGAAGCATGTCATGATGATGACCCCTAGAGTTAAGGGCTTTGTAAATGACATCCGTTTCCTTGAAAGCATCTGCCTCTACCACCACTGCGTTCGCTGCTGCTCCGGACCAGAATGATCTGCAAAATTCCCCACATATCACATTGTCTGCAACATTATATTTTTGGAATATAATTTATTCTAATACCAGATTCTTCAATTCTCTTAACATAAGATTGCTCATCTTTGCATTACTAGTATACTCAATTGAAATCAATCTCACTTAAAATCATAACAACTTCTCTTATATTAATAAAGAACCCATTTCAAAAGAATGAGTTTCACTCAAACCCGTGATAGACAATCTTACATTCAGAATTTCAATCCCTTTTTGTTTTTAGAAACTTCGTTTTTTCCAAGTTACTGGATAGTCTTGACAATGTTTAATGCAATGCACCATAAGTGTTCATGAAAATGCATGAATGAAATCTAGTTTTGTTTACAATTAAGGAGTGAAAAGTTGGTAGTTATACTCTTTGAGGATGTCTTTGAGGACAGTGCTCTTGCCAGCTCCCATTCCACCACCCATGAGGAGGAGCACCGGACTCCTCTCACTATGGGCCACCGGCACCATCACGTCTGTTTGAGAATCCCCGTTTGCTGCCGTGCCGCCAATTACTCTCATCTCCTCCACCAGTGTACAGAACATCCTTGTCACTTTGAGGTCCTTTGTCACCCTATCAAATCTCTGTTTCCTGCCAATCCAATCCATGAACAAGCAAGAAAAAAAATCAGCATCTTTGTATAGGGTGGTAATTAGCGTCACCGTGTAATTTGTTATGTGCATGCTCTGCTATGTTTATAGTCTTGTTTATACTGACAGGTATAACCGATGAAACCAAAATTCCAAGACTAGAACTTTTTCTCTGAAGCAAATCTATCAAACTATAAATTAATTGATCAATATCCCAACAAAATCAAGTCAAAACACATTGAATTTTCTATCAATATTAACACAACACTCGATCAAACATGAAAAAAAAAAATTAGACATAGCTTTGTGTAATACCAATTGTACACATTTGTTGTATACAAATCGAGTTATTAGTGATTGGCCCATAGGGTTGGATCCACTGCCTAATCCCTTATCTCTAATGAGGCTATAATGGGTTCAACATTGGTATTGGTATGTAAAAATGATTTTTCGGTACTATTCCTCTATTTTTCATCTAATCAAAACGTGACATGTGTAATTTATTTTTATTTTGTTATCAATACTTCATCATTTTTTCAAACAGTAAGTAGAAAGTCATTCAAACCAAAATCTAATACTGTTCATCAATTTTGTTAACTATACCTAGATTTATCTACCTAATATCGAAATAGAAGATGATACAGCTAGGGTTTATGCCCTTGGTGACCAATTGATTAGTGCTTTTACTTTTTTTTATAAGTAATACAGATATGTACATAGGTCACTCTATATATCCATCAGGGGTATTGTCCTTTAGTATCACATAGCAACCCCACTACACCTACGTCGGGTTGAAACTAACGGCCTACCGTGTGCTATGGGTACTAAAGAATAAGTTTAGTTCCAATAAACTGTCGTAACTATATAAACTCGAACCCAAACACTAAATATATGGAAAGTGACAATTGCTATTTATTCGAACATATTCCCGTTGGTCTCAAAGGGTGACATTTGATTTTTTGGACCAATTTACTTGTCTCTTTCTAAAGATAGACATATAAAACCACCAAAGACGAGGTCCAAGATAAGGTTGGGCATTATCTCATTCTTCCAATAGGTGTCATATTCGGGTAGACAAATTACATTTTGATCCCCTCAAATATAATCTTAATTTTACTTTATTCTGTTAATTATTGAATTTTTCACATTACCTCTCAACAGCTTGAATTGATTTTCACATTACCCCAAAATCAGATGTTCTAACATACTTTGGATTGAAAATGCTTAAATGTGTGGTATAATGCTCATAATTGAATTAGTAATCCCGGTTAAGGGTATAATGTAAAAAATATAATAATTAAGATGACAATTTTAAACCGATAATAATAATTCAAGATGCAATATAATAAATGTGATAGATAAAAAGACAATATAAAACATGAGATATAATTAAGAGAGTTTAAAGTGCAATTTGCTATTGACTATAATACTCTCTTGTTAGATACTTGCTCTGTTTGGTATATTGCTACTTCTATGATGGATAAGGCTTGAGTACCGATTTAGTACTATTTCGAAATACATTATTATCCATTATTTTTAATCCGGATAATCTATAATTATTAATTCAAAAATAACAATAAAATAAAAAAAATTACGTGTTAAAATTCTATTAGATAAAAAATATAAAAATAATACCAAAAAATGACATTTGATCCAGTAACCAGACTCGTTATATGATTTATATTAGGTATAATTCGTGTTTAAAGGCACGGTGAAATGTGAATGATTTTGATAGAGATGTTAATGGTCATTTGATGAATCTATTTGATACCGTCGAATAAACTTATTGAAACCTGATCTATTTTATATTATAGATTTACTGGAGGTAACTCGTACCTGAAAACACGGTGCGTTCAATTCAGACACGAGAGAACGTAGATAAGAAGTGATGGATAAAAAGGCAGCCACTCTTAGGGAGAATGTTATTAAAGGATAAAAAGGCAGTCCCATTCTTCAGCAGTAAATACTATTTGCATGTTATTTGTTGATATAATTCTTTAATTTAATGTATTATAATTTCTAAATTTATAATTAATTTTAATAAAGACTGATATTCATTGTCAATCTAATAATTATAAATAATCAGGTTAATAAATTATATTAAGTTAGAATTATTCTTTTTGGAGATTACTTAAAATTAAAAACATTTCAGAAAGACTTTTTTAAACAAAAATCATATACACCAGAAAATGATAGAAGTAGGTAAAACAGGAAGTTCTTGAAACGTAAAATACACAGACGGTCTAAATTATTTAGACTCGAAGATTTATTTTATGATTTATATTTTAATATTTTAATTAACATAAATTTATTTATTTATATTTAATATTTTAATTATTATATAGATAAATATATTATTATTGCAGCAATCAAATCAAGAGCCACGTCTTCAAGCAATCATATCCTTCTACTAGCTCTTTAATCAAGATAATTAAATAATACAATGATGGAAGCCGGCTGTCAATATATATATATATATATATATGATAGGATAAATTCTATTTTGACCCCTCAATTATACGGCTAACTCGCACTGCCCCCTCAACTATTACATTGGTTTTTATGTAGTATCATTAATCATAGTTATTAGTTTCACATTATTTTAATCATTGATATCAAGTATAAATTTGACTAAAAATTGTCACTTTATCGTTAAAATGTATAATTTTGTTAAACTACGGTCCAAAATCGAAAAACAAACGAACATTTTTCATCTAAATTATTGTGTACGTTTGATTTTGAAAAATCGTGAAACCCGTCCACAATTAGGAGGACAATATGCAAAGTTCAATAGAACGCATGAAATTAGTCCCAGCCATAATCTAGGGATGCAAATTATATTTTGTCATTTCATTAAAATAACAAAAGATAAGGCCAATAAAGTGTACGTAAGGTCACCTTGTAGCTGCCATGACCAACTCCTTGAGCTTTTTCTTATCAGAATCAACAGTCAATAGCTGCAACACAAGCAATACTGATCACGATGACCAAGAGTAGGTGGGTGATTACAAAATATACATACATATCTAATTACTTTTTATACATTGATTATGGTACCAATATGTCATTTGGGTAAAGGTTTTAAGATAGATTCTAGAATCAAACATAAAAATTATAATTGTTGACGTTTTGAATTCGAATCTTTATAATTTTACATTGGAAGGCATATAATTAAATTGAAGTGAGAATCAATCAGAGACGCACGTAAACTCACCTTAACATCCCGTGCGTTGAAAAAAAAAAAAGTTCTAAGTAACATAATTAGACCCATTAAATTAATTAATACCTGACTAATTGCAAGAGAGGCTTGGCTCCAATTGAATGCAAAGTATCCAAGAATGCATCTTTCAAACTCCTCAACAAGCTTCACATATAGCAATTCAGTGTTTGGTTCGTTAGCAAAGTATTCATAGATGCTTTGCTCAGACCCTTTGGGTTTTTTCAAGTACTCATCAGCTAACTTGCATAAGTTTGGACACTCACTCCCATCTTTAAATCCTATTTGTCGAGCTGCCAAAAAAAAAAAACGAAACCCATCAAAGAGAAAAACACAGAGTGTTTGGTGTATTTCACACAGATCGAGTAGTGTGATCTATGATCACAGTAAGGATTAGAGGGTATGTAATTCTTACCCACATAGTGAGAGAATTTTTCTAGTCTGTCTACACGGCCGGAGCCTGTTCTGTCTAACCGAGGAACAAGGTTTTGACCTTTGACTAATTTGGGCTTTCGCCGGCGATACTGCACCGCAGTGATGGAGATTAATGCAATGGAGGCTGCAGCAAGGATGTGGGCCAGGATGATTTTGCCATAACCATCTGAAGATACAGCCAAGAGGATGTTATCACCAGAGAGAGAGAGAGAGAGAGAGAGAGAGAGAGAAGAGGCTTACCTTTCTGCATGGTGGTGATGTGTAGAAACAAGTCGCCGGAGTTAGACCGGAGCTTTGCTCGGCTTCTTGACTGGTGGATCTGATGAGCTATGAGTTTCGTATACTTCCATTAATCGATAAACTTGATATATTTTAACGTTAATGCCACATTATTTAAGTCATGGTCTAAATTTAATTTTAAGTATGATATTTTAAGTCAATTTTTAAGTTTAAAAAAGAAAATGACACTTTCCACCCTTAATTTTTTTTGCTATTCTCAATTTCGATGGGCCCCATTTTTTTAAAAAATTGAGTACTAAATTTTTATTAAAAATACTTTAATTAAGTATTATACAAACACGTGTGTATACAAATAGAATAATATAAAAATATAATTTATCAAAAAAATGACCATTTATTTTTGAATTAAATTAATAAATTTTATTTTATTATTATTTATTATTTTTTGGTCTGGAATTTTTATTTGATTGAAGTCCCTTAGAAAAGTTACAATATTTTTCATTACTTTGTATTTCCACTCCCTGCTACAAGGACATTGTGAAAAGATCAATTTTTAATTCCAACTCAAATTCAATTAGGAAAATATGAACTACTATTTTTTATCTATAGTTAAAATAAAAACATATTATATGGTGTTTTATAATTTGAATTTGAATATACTAATATTTCTATTTGAAGGCGAGGTACAAACTCTTTAAGTAAAGTTACAACAATTAAAAATAAAATTACTATATTTGAAAGTGAGGTTATAACTATTTATGGTATAATTACTATATTTGGATATGAAGTTATAATTACTTAAGGTTAAGTTGCGTGAACTAAATGTAAAAGTATCATCTTTAAATGTGAGGTGAAATTACAATCTCTTGAGGTGAGTTTACAACTTTTTCAAGTAATGTTATTACATTTATAGGTAAAATTATCACTTTAATAAGTAATATTTAATAACAAAAAATTCGCAGTCACACATTTGAGTAATATTTAATGTCAAAAAATTTACAGTCACTTTTTTTTTAGTACGGTACCACTATTTGACCGGGTGGTACTGTAGACTCTTCCAAAATTTATCAAATTTAATTGAAATTTGCAATTTGAGAGTGATAATTAGTATTCGAGGTTTACTTTCAGCAGAAATATTTGCCAAATAACCCAGTCTTAGTGATAAGTCGTTAACCAAAAAATAAAAAATGAAATGGTCATTAAAATCCGCTCTGGGACAAAGGTATCTTTGGTTGATGAGACTCTCCAACCACCATCAATCAACCACCATCAATGCCTTCGAATATTTTACTCTGGATAGCTTGATGACAGATCTGCACAATAAATTGACTTGGAGAGAGAGAGAGAAGAAGAATAAGATCTCCTCCTCCTGTGATCTTCCATGAAAATAACATCAATCACACATGTCCTGTGGTTGGTGTTAAATGTCTATTGAAAACAATTTTTTATTTTTTTGAAATGAACGTTAACGAGTACATTAACGAGTCTTTAAAAAATTTAATGTAGTCTATTAATTTTTCATTTACATTAATTTAGTGAAAAATTTAACTTGGCATGCTTAGAACACGGTGCATCCAACTTAACTTTTTGTTTTTTCTTTTTTATTTTGGGGGAGGAGGAAGGGAGGAGAAGGGGAAAGAGTTTAAACCCTTAACTTCAAAAAATAAAATTTTCACAAGATAAGAAATATTATTGAAATAAAAGTTTGTTGGTACATCTAACTTAACTTAGGGGTACAACTCACGCAGATAAGACGGGTTGAGGAGTCGACCCAAGTTCAACCCAAAATATGAAAGCCCAACTCGTGATTAAAATTGTGAACTCGAGTAGTCGAGTTAAGCTCTGGTTACACAATTTGGTTTGTAATTTAGGTTTAACACGAGTAAAAATCAAGTTTTTTATTAATCAAAATCAAACCAAACCTAAAGTCTATAACTCTCATTAATCAAAGCTACAGTAAATAAGCAGTGCGGCGTAGATGACCTAACATTTTATCTGTATATTTGTGTGTGATTTTTTTTTTTTTTGGAAATTTCAAGCTGAACCCCATTTTATAAGTTTATATAGCATAAAATTTCCCATAAAGTACCCAATTTTAGGGTCCCCACAAAAAAGAAAGCCTTGAAAGACAGACCAGAGAACTTCTGAATCGCCCACCCAATGAACATGCATACCACAGAATAAAGAAGACACCACTGGACCACAAGTCCAACACCATATTATTCCTTTTAAGCATAAATAACTGTTCATTGGTCCCTCCACTTTCAAAACTATTCTACTTTCATTGGAGCTTTACCAACAGTCTCCATACTTTTCTTAAAAGCATTATGTGACCCGTAACATTAATTAACTAGACTAACGCCAGCTAGCTCAAGAAATAATTGGAACGAGTTGTAAACTCAGACGTTTTAAATTTGAACCTTGACAATCATTTGGAGCCAGGTCATGAGAAATTTTATCCTTTATGAATACCCTAGTTTCGACGTGATGACTTATCTTTGACCATACTAAGAGAGAGAATTAATCGAAGTGCACGTTAATTGACCCGAACACTCCTGATTATTGAACTAAAAAAAAACTAAACTTCAGTCCTTCTTCTAGCACAGCTACTCTGGAAATATTTATTTAAAAATAAGGAAAAATCTCAATATGCCTCCTGAAAGATATAAATTTTCTCACTTCCCCCCTCTCTCACCCACATGATTAATTTTTTCATATTACCCCCTCAAAGACATTAAAAGGTTTCAATGTAGTCCATTATCAATTTTTCGTTTGTCGTCCGTTTGGTTTTGTTATCAAGTGCGAAACACCTGATAAGAGCATAGGATTTATTGTAAAACCCTTGTCTTCTTCTACCATGTGATTGTGCATAAAAACCCTAGGTTATCTAGTTTTTGCAGAAGAAGAAGAAGATGCAGAAACTAGGAGGAGAAGAAGAAATACAATACATGTGTTGCCGTGGTAGAAGGCCCAAAACGCAGACATCATGTACATATTTGAAACCATGAAGGAGATTTACCGCATGCGAATAACGAGGTAATTTATTCCATTATTCATCTTTAGTTCGTTTATACCCATATTGTTCAGCAAGATATTGATGTTCAAGTAATTGATTATTACAACTTGTATTTGATAAATTAGGGATTTTTTTACAACTATGGTTGTTTTTATTTCTTGAAAATTTTGTTTTTTGGACATTGAACAACTTATTTTGCCACCTCTAGTGGGTACTTCAGTCAATTTTGATTGGTTTTATAAACATTTCTTAAGGTTACAGCTAAGTGTTGCTACTTTCTATGGATCGACCTCCCAATGTATAGTCGATCACGCCAAATAATTTCAGGTTTGTTGCTTCGTGTTATCTGTTTAGAAGAACAGTTGAAGCAATCCAAAGTAAGAGCGAGGATGCTTTGGAGCTGCATTATTAGTTCCTTGTTTCTAATTGTGATCATCTGTGTATCCATGAATCGACTTGATGGATATGACTCAACTGTGGAGGTTCCAAATAGAGAGATTTTGCCATTGCAGCTGTTGTGAATGTGAGTTAAGTGAAGTGAAGTTAGCTGAAAACTAATGCAATTTTTTGTTAAATTAGCCCTTTTGTTGTATGTCATATGATGATGGTTGTTGTAATGAAATACTTATGTAATATTATGATTCATTAGCATTTACTACTAAATTTGTGTATCCATCAATCAACCTAGTTTCCCACCAATATAAGATTTCTTGCCCTTAGTGTCCAATCTACGACCATGATGCAAGTAGAAAGTAAAATATCCAAAAATATTATCTGCATACACAAACCAAAAGCAAGTGACAAGAAAAGGCTGACAAAGCACACATTATTCCACCTACCCCATAAATGTTAAAAAATCAAAACAACTATTATTCAAGTATAAAGTAACAAGTCAACTTACAACAAACAAAGAAAAAAAAATCATAATTATGATGAATATAGAGACGGTTGTTGAAGTTTTCATATTTTGCGATAAATATAATTGTTGCTTAAGATTTTATGTGGTTAAAATAATTTTTTTTTTTGGCGACAAACAAAATATTGGTGACAAAATAAGAACATGTTTGACGACAAAATTATGGTCGCCTATTATGTATTTTTGGCAACGAAAATTTTGTTGTCGCTGAAAACTTTTCCAGACGAGCCTAACGCGACAAAATGGCAACGAAACTAGTTCGTCGCCAAAACTTTTTTGCAACTAAATTTATACATTTTGCAACGAGTCAATTCATCGCTAAAAAATAAATTTGTTGTAGTGAACAAAACTATGTTTGCACTTGCACACACAATCCCCCATAAAAAATTATCTCGAAGTGATCCCGACACAGATTAACTATTAACCCACAACGAGACAAATATCATATAACACAAAAAACAAAACCCAGTCAAAAATCAAACAACCATGGATATCAACACAGTTAACACAATCAACCACAATATGTTAAATATACTATAACATGACACATTGCAACAAGGCCGTCAAATACTTCTCTCAATAACCACGACATGACATCTTTTGAATCTTCAAGATTCTCAACCTAGCCCATGCAACAGACATAAAAGCCATAAATCTTCTTCCTCAAATCTATCTCTCTCTCTCCCCCTTTCCATAAGATCCAAATCACAATTATTTCTCATGTGCAAATCACATGGTAAACGAAGAGACATGGGTTTTACAATAAAATCCCTGTTTTTTCACATGTTTCGCACAAGATAACAAAACCAAATGGACCACAAACGGTAAACTAACAATAGACAATATTGCAACCCTTTAATGTCTTTGAGGAGGTAATATGAAAAAATTAATCATTTGGGGGGTCAAAGTGAGAAAATTTGTATCTTCCAACGGATAAACTGAGATTTTTCCTAAAAATAAATTAGTCATCAAAGAAAATTTTGCATTCCGTTGTTATGCCAATAGTTTGGTACCGAAATCGGTAAACGAGCAATCCCAAAAAATCCCATTTAGTTGTAACTTCACCATATTAAATTTTAGGGTAAAAATCAGTCGGACTCCCTGAGTTTTGTCTTAATGACACGGACATCCCCTCACATTTGGAACTCATTACACGGACACCCCTCCGTTCCATGGCCGTCAATAATGAAGACGGAAAAGAGTGACATCACCTTAAAAAACCCTTGTAATTCCAAAATTAGCCCTCAATAGTAAGACTAATTCCAAAATTAGCCCTCAAATGTAAGGTTAAGTATTATATATTAAAATTTTTCCAAAAATATATAAAAGAAAGACTATTATATCCTTCAATACACTTTAAAAACACAGCACAACTCACTTATAGAGCTTTGGAACCCACTGTAAACTTGTGTAAATACCCCCTCTCTCTCTCTCCATTAAAGCTTTGGGATGTTTTTAAAACTAAGACATTTTATTAAAAGAATCAACCAAGCAAAAAACAGTTCCTGATTTTCCTGTTACAAACAAAAATTCTACCAAAAATTTGACTTTCAAGTAGAAACCAAGACATTTTACAATTAGAAATATAATTTTCTGTTACAAACAAAAATTCTACCAAAAATCTAGTTCCTGTTTTTCTGTTAAAAAAATAGTTTTTGATTTTCTGTTATAAGCAAAACGGAAAAACTATTACAAAACAGGAAAAAATTACTTGTCCTCATAACAGGGATTAGCCTGTATCAAACAAAAATTTCATGTTACAAACAAAAATATGATTTTTTGTTACAAACAAAAATTTTCCATGGTGTTGTAGTAAAAAACAGAAATATGATTTTTTGTATCAAACAAAAATTTTCCTCATAACAAGGGCTAGCCTCCCTGTACACATGTATCTATGTATTTCATGTTCAACTTAAATGACAAAATGGTGTAATATTTCATATAGAACTGGGCAGTGATAAAAGATATTACATGGTGTTGCAGCAAAAAATACTTGTCCCACAAAAAATAACATGTGCCCTAACCCCCAGACAAAAAATAACGTGCCCTAACCCCTCCCAGACAAAAAATACTTGTTCCATAAAAAATAACATATGCACATTTATACTCCTCCAAGCCTCTAAACTCCAACTGATTGAGCGCCCCTTGCCACATCCCCTTACCCCTCCCTCTATTGCAGTCGAATTTTCAACTGTGTTTACTTGGGAAGTTGCCTGTGAGGCAGTAGAATGACTTTGTGATCCAGCTGTTTGTGATGTTGTTGGTCCTTCATTGCACTACACATTAGAAGATAATTAGAAAATACATCAATTGTATTCCAATGAAATAGGTAGAATGTTATTTACCTGACTGCTATTGGTCACACCACCATTCTTGCCCTTCGCTTTAACTAGTGCTCTTTGACATGTTCTTTTGTTATGCCCAAGTTGTACGCAAATTTGGCACCTTATTGTTTGGGACCTCCTCATGTCACTTGTACCAGCTGCTGGCTCATCTACAACTCTCCTTCTATTGGTCCTAGGCCTTCCAGGTAGCCTGCGCAGGGGTGGAGGTTGTAGAGGTTCTGCCATTGGATCCCACATCTTCTGATCCACAATTGGATGGATCATATCTCCATGAACAAGTAAATAAGCCTCTTTGGTGTAACTTCTATGACAATACTTCTCAATATTTTCTCTTTGGGATCCTATTGCAGTTGCTGCATGAATGCAAGGAATCCCAGATATCTGTCATTGTCTACAAGAGCCCATCCCAGTTGCCAAATTGACTAGATATCGTGTTCCCTCATAACTTATATCAAATTCCAAGTTCCCAGCAAATAATACAAAACACTTCATACTGTCCTGAACAACTTTTTTCAATTGTATCTTAATGTTTTTGGTGACTAATCCCTCCCATGCACATCCTTTGAGGTACCTTTTTTGAAATCTCACCATTAACTTGCATCTAATTCCTTCCAAAAGAGTGAGTATTGGCTTATGCTTATGCAGTCCAATCCAGTTGTTAAATGATTCACACATGTTATTGGTTATGTGATCACTTTTCACAGATTCATCAAATGTGTGCCTAGCCCATGTATGTACAGGGACTTTCATAAACGAATTATAAGCATTAGAGTCATGTAACTTCATTAACTCCATGTTGTCCCTAAACCCTACCACATTATAGGCCCTAGCAGCCCTCCAAAAAGTTTTTTTAAGTAATAGTCCAGGAAACTTGGACTTGAAATTATTGAAGCGATGCACACAACATCTCCTATGCTTAGTTCCTGGGAAAATCTTCTCAAACACTTTATCAAGTCCCTAAGTTCATAACAAAAAATAGAAATAGAATAATAAGACTTATTAAAAGAAATAAAAACAGAATAATAAGAAACAGAAACAGAAACACAGAAATAGAAACAGAATACCTTCTGATTGTTAGACATAAAGGTCCATGGTTGGGACCTGTCTCCAGCACCAATAACTGCATGCAGATTGTCTAGAAACCAACCCCAGCTCTCCGTTCTCTCACTTTCAACGATTTCATATGCCACTGGGAATAATCCTTTATTCCCATCCAGTGCTACTGCAGCTACAAGAACCCCACCATATGGCCCTTTGAGGTGACAACTATCAACACCAATGAAAGTCCTACAACTTTTTCTGAACCCCTCTTCATGGCACCAAATGAAATGAAAAATCTCTTGAAAATGGGATTAACACTCACTGAAGGCTTAAAATAATCAATAAGTGCAACAGAATCAGGGTTACTTTTCAAAACTTGTCTAACATAGGCTGGTAGTAACTCAAATGTCTGGCTATGATTACCCTCTATTGCTTCCGTAGCCCTCATTTTTTCCCTATAAAGCCTACTACCATTACTTTCAATTTTCCATCGATCATTCAATTCAAATTGCATACTCTCCAATGTTATCTTTGGGTTGTTCTTAATGACCCCATGTAACTGTTTTGCAATTCAGGTGTTGTTTGCCTCATCTACCTTCCTATACCTAATATAGTTATGCTCACCTTTGTAACTCTTCACCTTAAATGTAGCTTGATCTGGAAGAGGTGATGCATGGATCCTCCATTTGCACCCTTCAGCAGCACAATGCACTGTGACCCTAGTCCTCTCATTTTTCTTCCTAATCACTTTGATCCCTTTTTTAATGATGTAGTCTCTTAAAGCATCCCTAAAAAGATCAACATTCTCAAACAACATCCCCACACAGAAATTCCAGTAAGAGTTTCCACCATTCTCAACATGAAACTCAGTCCTATATTCAGATGTATCATACACTTTGGATTTCCTCTTTCGCTTGTTATCACCATTCCTATACTCTACATCACAGAATCACTACTACTCCTACCACCTTCATTCCCAGATTGATAATCTGAGAAACCATCACTATTTGCATCCCACTCCTCACATGTGTTAATTGGCCCAACATATTGGCAATTATTCCTAGAATCAGGAACATCATCACCCTCGCCTCTCCAATCATCATCCTCAGAACTAAAACCATATACATCGTCCTCCTTATCATTATCTCCCACATCAGTTTCCACATTTCCAACCTCAAACTGAACATTTGCATCATCTGTATCCACATTTTGCAACCTCAGATGCTACATTTATACCACTATGGACAACTATATCATGCTCAAATTCACCCATTTTTTTTCCAAAACCTGATTAATTCAACCCAAATTTCAAAAAAACAAAACTCAACTTCAATTTTACATCAAACCAAAAATTCAATAAACGTAAAAAACATCGCATAAAAGGCATAATACTTACCAATGACTGCAAGAGAATTAACGGCAAGTAGGTGTCGCTTGTAGGTGACGGTGATATTCTCCCTAATGACGGTGAGTGCTAAAATCTCACAGCACATCTGTATAAACCATTAAACTGAGTTACAAGAATTTTAATACACGATAGTATAGTAGCTGCTAAAGATTTGAAATCTGCAAGGATGTCTAAGAAAAGCGTAAAACATGCATATTCAAATGAAATTCAAATGTTAAAATTCAAATACATATCATCCTTTATATGAGTGTGGGATGAGTGGGTCCCATTAAAAAAATTGATGGAATGCACTCATCTAAAAGATAAAATACATTTGGGTTTTATTTGAATTTTATAGCATTACTCTTAATTAAATGAATTGAGTTAAAATTAAATAAAATAAGACAAATCCAAAATAATATAATCCAAAATGTCCCCACTGGATTCACACTCATAACAGTAACACTATAGCATTACAAATTCACTTGCTCAAACATAGCCACAATAAAAAAAAAAAAAAAAGCAAACATAAACCATGGAATACATCACAATATAAAAAAACCTCACAAATTAGGATGAACATATACAATCTCAATGCATTTGAAACCAACAAGAAGTAGTGTCCTCTCAGAGACATTCCAAAAAATGGAACATTTGCAGACACTCAACACGGCATTAGGTTCTAACCGCCCGTCTGCTTTTCTCATCATTGAGCAAAAGTGAGACAACTTAACAAACTTTACAACTCTATTATCACCAAAGCAACTCCCCCATCAACCTTAATACAATGCTAATCAAGTAATCAAAACTTGATTACTTGATAGTAATGGACCGATGATCATTACAGACTCAAGAAATAATTTTTTTTCGAAACAGAAAAAAATGTTGCATACATGATTAAAGAAGAAAATTGGGAATTAAAGAGGTGCCTAATTAAATTGATCACCAAAGAGGTGCCTAATTAAATTCAAAACAAAATTGGGAAGTAAAAGCCACAAATCAGCGACAGCAGCCCAGTGCTCACCGACCAGAATATACAAACCCCGACAAATACTTTAGCAGCCCAGCCACCTAGCCCTCAACCGACAAACACCAACAAATTCTTAAGTAGCCCAGCCACCCATACCTCCAAGCATTACCCCCCTGCTACACCATATGCACCGACAAACATATACACCATATACCCATATATGCCCCCAAGTCAGCAAAACCCACTCCGCTAACAAAATACCACTGCCCACTCCACCGACATCAACCTAGACCAACCCACTGACATCTAGACCACTCCACTGACATCTAGTCCACTCCACTGACATCTTTCATTAAATGAAATTAGACTAGAATTGTTTATGTCTCTAGCAGCACAGATCCTAAGAAAACCCAAACAAACAACGCAACAACATAACCAATAAGGAGAAAGGGGCTTACAGTGCAGAAGAGTCATCAATGAGGTCAGATACGAGAATAGTGAAGGATCCGAGTTTGAGTTTGGCATCAACGCCCAATAGGTGTCGCTTCTACTTGTAGGGTTAAATCTCTGGTGGAACCCATACCTTGTGGAATTTAGGGCTTTTGAGTTCGAGATGTGTTGAGATCTGTGGGGATTGGGGAAACATGGAGGTTGTGGGGGAATCGGGGAGGAAGAGGAAGATGAAGGTTTCGATTTTGGGTGAGAAGGGTTAGCGCCTATACGTAAACGACTGTAGAAGGGGATTTCTCTCTCTCTGGCAAACGATAGGTTGTACAAAGGTTTCGATTTTTTAGGGTTTTGATAGTCAGATGGGTATTTATGTCATTTTACATATTGGGGTTTGACTAGTAATATTATAATTAAATAAAATGAGGGTTATTCTTGTCATTGCACAATGTCTGTTAACTCCGTTTATGATAAAGGGTGTCACTGTAATTAATAAAATGTGAGGGGGTGTTCGTGTCATTAAGATAAAACTCAGAGAGTCCGAATGATTTTTACCCTAAATAATACTTTGTATTTTGAAATTTTTTCAAATTTCAACAGATTGGAAGATCATAATTTAGATTACACCATCAGTTAGACAAAACAATAGTAATGTGATCCAATATCACACTTCTATTTCCCTTGTCCGATAATTGTTTTTTATTATTTTTTATATTTTTATTTTTGTACTCAAATACGTGTTACATTACTCTATGTTTAGTATTTTGAATAAAATTGTAATTGATAGTACAATATAACAATTTTAATTTTGTAAGGCCCAAGTTAAGAATTTAAAAGCCCTTTTGCATATAAAATTATCATTCGCCCTTTTAGTAATTCTAGAAAATCATAACAATGAAGAATAGTCCCATCTGTATTAAATAAAAAATAGGGTTAATTACACCCGTATCCCCCAATGTATGTATTCTATGCAATTTTGGTCCTCAATTTATCAATTACATCATATTAATTTTTGATATTTACAATTTGATTTTAAATGTTTCTCACCCATAACGCCATCATGAATTCTGACGGTTTTTGGTCATGTGTTGAAAGTAAATTGATTTGACTGATATGCATTCCATAGTAAGACATGTGTTCAACACACATGGCAAAAAACTATCAGAATTCATGATGGCATTACGGCTGGGGATCATTGAAAATTAAATTGCAAATATCGGGGATTAATATGATGTAATTGATAGGTTGGGGATTAAATGTCACAGAATGCATACATTAGGCAACCGGGTGTAATTAACCCTAAAAAATATTTGAAGAGACACCCCCATTAATTTACTAGAACTACAAGCCCTCTTTTGCAACATTTCGGTGTTACCCTCCCATATATATTTCATAGATCTAATCACTTCTCATCTTCCTCAAAACCCTAGCCGTGCTTTATATCCTCAGCTCCTGCGGATTAGGGTTTCTGATTTCCATCTCCACAATCATGGTGAGTTCACATCCTCAATACTCTCTGAAACACAATCTCTCTGTAGATTATAGGGGTATATATATAATTCTGTGTTCTCTCTTTGTCTGTTATAGGCGGACGTTGAGACAGATGTGGCCACAGGACAGCCGAAGAAGAGAACGTTCAAGAAGTTCAGCTTTCGAGGAGTTGATCTCGAAGCTCTTCTTGACATATCCACCGAGGAGCTCGTCAAGCTCTTCGGTGCCCGACCTCGTAGAAGGTATTATAGATATCACTTTATATGTAGCTCTGTGTGTTTATTTACAGAAAGTTTTTTTTATGTTTGTGGTGTTGATGAAATTGTAGGTTTCAGAGAGGTCTGAAGAGGAAGCCAATGGCTTTGATAAAGAAGCTGCGCAAGGCGGTATGTATTTTCTATGATTTGTGTCGTTTTATTTCGATTTTGGTTTTGTTTGTGGTTAAATACGGTAATTTTTGGCTCTCGTGTGGTTGGGTTTGTATTGGTCTTTTGGGTTGTCTTTAATTCGATTGCTGTATATAATTGTGATGCATTTTGATACAAATGGTATAAGAAACTATGTGAAATGTTATTGTATTTTCTTTTGTAAAGAAAAGAGATGCTAGAAAAATCTGAAGAAAAATGATATATATGAGGGTGAGAAATTTTGGGAAAATGAATTGAAATATTAATGCAAAATGTAGTAATCATCAGAGAATAACATGATATAGATTATAGAAGACAATGTAGAAAAATGTCGCAAATTGATTCTAGGCTAATGGGCTTGTTTGACTTGATTTGTGTGTGATGTGTGGTACTGGTCCATGTTTCCTGTGTTTGTTGTGAGAAGATAATAGTTTAGGATTCCATGTGTTTTTTGTGGGAGCTTTTCAGTTGACCTACTTGATGTATATTGTTTGTGGTGTTATAATGGGTGTATCATTCAGTGGTCATGAGAAGATAGAAAGCTTATGGATACAAGGGACAACATATTAAATTTCTACTAATTGGACCTTTGAGCTGACAGTCCAGTTCTTAGATTTTCAATAATGGTTATTGTGGCCTTAACTGCATTTTTCATATTCATTGTGGTTTAAACCTGTTGAAAAGGTCTCCGGGTGCATCTTTATTTTTTAAAATTTATCATTTATTTGGTCAGTGTCTACAAATCATGTTTTTATGAGCTGAAAACAATTCTTCTATCAGTATACAATATATGTTACAGAAACCTGTTGGATTTTATTTGGTGTTTCAATAGTTAATAATATAGATAATTTTTATGTTTAAAATAGTTTTGTTTTGGTTGCTACAGTGGAATGTACAAGATGTTGCTATTGCAATTTTTTGACTTTACCTTAAGCTACAGTTTACTCTCTTTAGAAAATAAATTTTAAGATGCCTTGTGAAAAGTAGCATCGGTAAGGAATACTTTTTAAATCATATTAGCATGAGATTCACATATTTAACTCTCTCTGTTATCTTTTGTGTCAGCTGTGTAATGCTAATGAACAAGGTTATTACTGCTACTTTTACCATTTGTTTTCAAATGAAATCCTATTATATTATTTGTTTTGAGCTTGCACTTCATTGAAACTCAAATTTTTTATTTCTTTGAAGGAGGTAATGATTATTTTAATTTTTCTGAAATCTCTGCTATGAATTAATAATGGATTATGATGAAGAAATTCAAGCTTTGTAGATAATTCTTTAGCCTATCTTATGAGAGTTTGAACCCTTGTTTTGTGGCTTATTTAGATGGCTTTTTGGTGACTGGTTGATGATTACTAATCAGTTCACTCAGATGCCTAGTATCTATGTATTTGTGGTCGCCGGTCAGGGAATCAAATTGCTTTTCTTGTACTCAAGTATCTACTGGCTAATTACATTCTGAAGGTTTTTATATTGTATCACATTAGGATTTTGAAGCATTGGGTTTGGGCTGGCATTTCATCAATTTTTTTTGCTGACATTTCATAGTTATTGCGATATTTGTTCATGTCCATTTGTTTGCTAATTGCAGATCTTGTAATATTATTGTGTATATGTTCTGCAACACTTAATAATTGGAAAAAAGGCAGTTAGGTCTTTTTTGAATTCATCGATGCTATGCTTTCATTATGCTTTTAAATGGGGCATTGTATCCTTGCGAAACCTATTGAGCTATGTATTCACTTGATATTTGCTTCCCTGGTTTTCTTTGGTGTTTCAGTCAAGATGACCACCTTCATTTCGGAAAGTATTAATCATAAACTTGTTATATTCTTTTGATCTTCTGCTAGAATATTTTGGGACCCTCCTTATTTATACACCGACTTTTTTGTCACGTGCAAGCCTCGAGTAATGCTTTTTTTTTATATGTTTTGGAGCAGAAACTGGAGGCCCCGCCTGGTGAGAAGCCCGAACTTGTCAAAACTCACCTGCGCAATATGATAATAGTACCTGAGATGATTGGAAGTGTCATTGGGGTGTACAACGGAAAAACCTTCAATTCCATTGAGATCAAGCCTGAAATGATTGGTCATTATCTTGCTGAGTTCTCTATCTCATACAAGCCAGTGAAGCATGGACGACCTGGTATTGGTGCCACCCACTCGTCCAGGTTCATTCCTCTCAAGTGAAGCTTCTGCCAGCAATCTATATACAATAGTAGTTTGTTTTTGGTTCCACCTGTGAGCCACGCGAACTGCGTAAGATGCATGGGACAGAGCATCATCATCTATGTTTTTTGAACTTCTAAGAGTCATTTTTGCTTGGTACATTTTTATGCAGTTCGATTTTAAGTGGTCTTTAGATTAAAGAGGTGATACCTGATGACTGAACTTGAATGGTTTGATAAATTTTGTGACTGCAGTAAACATTTTTGCTTTCAAAAATTCTGAGTTGAGTCAGGGCCAACGTGGTTCCATAATCTCCTTACACCCATACTTGCTTCTTAATGTGATTTGATGCCTTCATGTGATCTTCTCCCCATCTTGTTTGCTCTCATGTGCTTTATTGACTTCCATGATCATCAGTTTAGACTTTCAGCAACCTTGTTTGTGCACGTGTTTGCCATAGCACTCTTATCCATTTCATGAAGGAGAGTTTGCATAGAGGATGAGAGAGGCCTGCCATGATAACATTGCATTTGGCCTCAGAGTTTACCAAAGAAGCTTGCAGCACCTTGTGGCTGAATGGCTACCCAGAATTGGAAGGGGAACTTAAGGAGCCAAGTAGTCTCATAATAAATTTGTCTAAAGACGATGAAAGATAGAATCAGGCGCCCTTGGGCTAATGCAATTATCTTTAAAACCTATAGGCGAACATATAACTATGAGTAAAAGACTTTTTATGTTATTGAAAGGTTGTTCAAACAATGAAGCTGAGTACGAAGTACTCATTGCCGGGCTTCTCATAGCATTACAAATTGGTATAAAGGTCTTCACGGTCTATGGTATGCTTTACACGTGGCTATGTTGGTCGTGATTGTGAATCTTGTAACACAGTGATAGATGGCATGACACACCCTCAACAAGACACATAGAGGCAGCAAGGGAAGAAATTACGTCCTAAACTCAAACATTTGGTATCAGTCTATCGGAGCTCCGTTCACAGTACACTATTGTTATTGATTTTACATTGTCACTTCAAATATCACATTTTTCATATTTTACCTTTACCTTAAACATTAATGATTGTTTGTTTTACATTGTCCTAATTTTAAGCGTTACAAATATCTATTTTATAACACATGTACATATATTTGTACCAACCCAAGGATAGTTTAAGTGAGATTATGAATGATTTATTTCTAATGAATACTTTAGTGTTGATGTAAATGACTTGTATTTGATTGAATTGGAGAGGGGATTAATCGAGGTACGCGTAAACTGGTTTAAACACTTCTAATTGTTGTACCCAAAAAAAAAAAAAAAAGATACATTTATATTTAAAACGTGACGAAAGCAAAATTTTGTGGTAATATAAAACTAACTAATAGTTGAGTTGACGATGTAAAAAAGTTAATAATTGAGAGAGGGAAGTGGAAACAGTCAAATACACTTTTGCCCTTTACACATAAAAAAAAAAGAAAGTCATTGCCTAGTGGACTTTCCATGCTACTTCATTTTTAAGTATAATTTACGGCATACTACCATCACTCAAACCTCTGTCTCTTTCATGGAAATGGCTATGAAACTTCCCTTCAACTTCAAAGAGAGTTCTTTGCACTGCTTTCTCTGCTTCTGCTGCTCCAGTCTACCCATTTTAGGAAAAAACCAAGAAAGATATGTTATGTGCATGCTGTAGATTCCAAAGATTTCAAATTGCAGAGAGATTGTGTATGTAGACATACATGGATATGACTACGGTACCATCAAAAAAAATTTTCAATATGATACTAAAATTAATTTATAATTATAGATTTTAATTTGATTGATTTGTAGTTATTAATTAAAAAAATATTAACATGATATAAAATTATAAACTATGAAAATTTTGTGCTTGTCCCGTTTTTATTAGATGAAAAGTGAAGGCTTGATATCGAAACATTATTTTTTTAGTACCGTAGTATGTGTAAGGTTGATAATCGAACTGAACTTTGCGAGTAGTCTGACAAATTCGTTTTTTTAAACAAGTTTAGAAAATTATTCAAATTCAATTTGTTTAGAAAATAACTCGAGTCCGAGTAATTTAATTATTCTACGTATAAATGAGCCGAGCCTTTAAACGAACCTAAAATATTATTTAAGTTCAACTAGTTTAGAACACAAGCGGAACTTGAATCGAGCCCAAGCCGAACATGAATAACTCGGTTCAATTATCAACCCTAAACGTGTGTATATACATAGAGAGAGAGAGAGAGAGTTTCACACACCTTGGTTTCAATATCAAGTACAGCTAATAACTCCTCTGAAGAAAATTTTGATTGGATTGCTGTGGTTTTAGACCCAATATTTTTCAAGCATTTAAGAACCTCCAACACAGAGTAAATCCCACATGAAGGATAAGTAACCCTTAATTTGATCTTAGCTTTCTCTACTTCCCTACTTTCTCTCTGATGATCATCCAAAACTGCTTCAAGCTCAGTGTTCCTTGTCTCCAACTCTTCCTTGTATCTTTGAAGCTCTTCAATTTCTTTAGCTGTCATTTGAATAATTGAGTTTTTATCACTCTGCAATCACAATCACAATCACAAAACAGTTGATGAGACACCAAAGCATGATGAAGCAGGGATTCATCCAAAAATAATAGGCATGGGAGCACCAGATAGTTTGACAAGATTTATAGCTCATAATAGTGCTAGCAAAACATAAAAACACTGGATTTTTTATATCATTGGACGAGTGTAGTAATTTTTGGCGCAATTCATTAACGTTTACGTGACATTAAATTAGCGTTCGATGCTAGCTAATTATTGACACAAACTCTACAATAAGATAATTAACACTTACACGACTAATGAGTCTGATCCGCGTCAAAACATAGAAATCTCATTTTAGTTTATGAATTGAGTTCAATTTTAGTTTTTGGGAACTAATAGATTTTGTTGAGAGAAAAGGAGATCTTGGTCCTATGTTGATGGGGTTGAACTAGACCATTACATGATAGTAAACAAAATGGGTTATAGACATGACATTTAAATTGATCAAGTCAAAATTAACTAGTAACAACATGACTCAATGGTATAACTGTCAATCAAATCGAGCTATTCGAGTTTTGCTCGAGTTAATTTTTTTTTATTTTTAACTTGTTCAAGCTCGACTCACTTAGATTTTTAAACGAATCGAACTTGAACAATTTTTTAGACTTCTTTGAAAAACGATTTTCAAACTCAAACTATTCAATTTCTTTATGCAAATACTTGGACTCCATTTATTTTGAATTAGCTCAAACTTGGTTAAGAAAACAATCATTTTAGGATTAATTTGAACTGGTTCGACTATCGGCAGTACTCGACGGTCACTCCTATTTTTGTATCTCGTGCTTTTAATCAAGCAGCTCGTTGTCTCCCCTACACCTATCCACCCAACTAAACCCATCATTGGGTGCACAGATGAGTCACAAAGATTGAAAAAGAAGTGGCCAGACAAACTGACCTTAGTTCCAGGAGGCAACATTGAAAGCAACGCTAAGTAACTTTGCTTCTGTTTCTCCCTCCTTAGCCTTTCGTCCATCATGTGTCTATATCCTCTTTCCCTCTCATTTCCTTTCGTTTCCAACACCGGCGTCCAATTTCTTCTCAAGAAATCAATCATCCTCTTGTTCACATTCCGACGATTCGTTCCGGCATCATCGCCCTTCGCCGGAAATCCATCAACGGGCTGGTCCGTGTACCCAGAAAAAGCACTTCGATTCACCGGAAATGCCCCGTCGAAACACCACATGTCGCCATAAGTGTCGTATTGAAAGAACTGATCCATATGTACGTTCTTCTCTTGCTTCCTCTGTGTTCCCAGGAATTTCAAATTCCAGTTATAATGGTTATAATAACGTTAAACATGAAACTCACATTTAACATGTGGTCAAATGTCTTTGGTTTTTCTTGGTCCACACGAGTTTTCTCTCCGAGTAAAATAGCGTAAATATGGATACCTGTGCGTGTGTAGATGTTTAGGTTAGAAGTCACTTTCCATATGTTCGGTAAGAATAATAAAAAATAAGAGGAATTAAAAATATAAGAGATTGAATTTTTATTTTTAGAGAAAAAAAAAAATATTTTCCTTCACTCTTGTTTGGTAAGTAGGATAAAAAAATAAGATAGATAATTTTTTTATTAGTTTATTTAAAATGAAAAATAAATGATATATTAAATATCATAAATGCCCTTTGAAATATAGACCCCACATTATTATTTTTTTTTTGTCCGGTGAAAGAAGTAAAAAGAGATGAAGGTCACATGTTTTCTATTTTTTCAAAAGAGTAAAACCAACAGTTAATTGGAGGGCAAAAAAATAATTTAACAAATACAATCATTATGTCCACCTTCGGTCTCCACTTTTCCTCCCAAATTTGGGCTGATTGAACCGTGTAAACTTGCTGGGCGTGTAGACTTTCAATCCTCTTTTCTTTCCGCTCCATTTTTCTTCTTCAACCAAACAAAGAAAAATATTACTTTTCCTCATATTTTTCATTTATCCTTTTTTCTTCGATTCATTTTTCTTCGTACCAAACAGATTATAAAAAGTTTGGACAGTTCAAATAGTGCCATTTTGGTAGGACCCATCTCCACTAAAATTAGTCGGCTTCACTCTACTTGGCTAATGGGACTAGCTAATTAAGGTAACAACTATCAAGAGAACTTAGTTCAAGTTATAAAAAAATTTATTTATAAATTAAACCTAAAATTTCTTAGGATTATATATAAATATATTGATAATAAATATAGTGATAAGTCACTAAATGTTGATAGCTTATTAAAGCAGACAAAGAGAATAAATAACCATTAGGTTAATTCAAATATAATATATTATCGGAAATACGATGAAAGAGTGTCGGTTTATTAAAGGACTAGATATTTGACTCAAATGAAAATGAATGTCGGGCTTGGTGTAGCCATGTTGAAGCATTCGATGCAAGTTTGAAAGTGGTGGCAAGGTTTTGATTTCCAGTAGTAATGGTGAATCGGGTTCATGTCAAATTTTAGTGAGTCTATGTTAAAAAATATTTTTTTCATGTGATTTGTTTATTAATTTATGGCTAACGAATCGTGTTATATTAAATTTGTATTGTGTGTGAATCATGTATAACTATTATATAAACGTGTCATATCGTATATTTCTTTTAATTAACATTACGAATATTCGATTCATTTATTAATTATATTGTATAGGGTCCACTAATTTACAAAATGAGTATTTTAAATAACATTCAAAATTTTTAATTTTATAACACTCAAAATTTGTAAATTTTTAATTTTATTAATTAATCTTGTAATATTTTAAAACTCTTACTTATTTAGAGGATGGTTTGCACTTCGCACGTATCTGGATCAAGAGTCTGCTGGGTAGGGCACGGTTTAGATCTAAATTGAAATTAAAATATGAGATGTTATCATCATATTAACGTGTAACTGAATAATTTGAATTACATCGAATTTTTAGATTAAATTTTAAATTTTAACAAATTAAAATATAAACTATGAAAATAAATTTCATCTGAATCCAATCAAATTGGATCGAGTTTGGTGTGCCCTTTAAAGATTTCGAATCGGAATTGCTGTGGTTCCACCAATTGAACCGTTCTGAAAACACACCTCTCTCTCTCTCTCTCCGTTTGGTCCGATTGGAGAGGCAATTGCTCAAAACCCCTGTAACTGGTTCAAGGGTTTTATTCTAACACAGTAGGTGATTCAAGGGTTTTCTTCCTCCCAGGTAAGTTCTTATACCATTTTCGTTCCAAGATCTAATTTTTGATTTTGCTTTTGCTTTTGTTTTTTGGTTTTACATGTTTTTAGCTCTGCTTCATGTGTTAATTTGTATTTCAAAGTGTGATATAGTTCCCATCTTTATACCTGTGATACAGAGGCTCTGTATCTTTCATTCGAAGCAGAATTTATTATTGTAGCGTTTATGTGATGCTGAAAGTTCAGAGTTTTCTTGGTTTGAACCCCAAGTAGGCAAATTCCACAAATACTCTGAAATTTGTAAGAAGTCGAGGTGTTTAATCAACATGTTCTGACATTTGAATGAAAATGAATGAAAAGACACACCTTCGTCAATCTGGATAAGCATAGGAGAATGATCTGAAGTTGAGCGTGGTAAGACTAGGATAAAACATCAGCCCAAGCCGGATTAGTGAGAACTCTCTCAAACCTCGCCCAAACAAAGTCCCCACTCTTGTGAAGTGAGAAACTTTGTACAATTTGTTGGCTCCAAGAATGGGATGAGTTACCTAATAGTCACTTTCATTTTGGGATCGTAGTTCAATGTAATGTCTGCTACGTCCCGTGTCCATGTTGTCATGATAGTGGTTGTTATTTAAACTTTAAATGGGAAGGATCCAGCAAGAATGGTGTAAAGGTGTGCTCTGTTTAAGTTGATTCAGTTGGCATCAAGCTGAGTTTATTCTGAGTTTACTTCTCATACATGTATTCATAATTTCATGTTGGTTCTCTATAATTGGGATCCTGACCATTTTCTATTTCCTTTCACTAGCATTTATGGAATAATTTGCGGAAAGAAACATGAAAGAAAATGAACTGGTATCTAACAAGACATAGCTTTTCAGACGAAGATGGAGAAAGGGACCATACAACTTGCATTTGTGGCTTTGCTTAATTTAATTGCATTAGTCATCTATTCTTGAAAGAAAGCAAATATTGTAGTTATGTATAGCTGAAAGCATTCTATGCGATCTATATAAGAGGTGGCAAACCACGTTCCCATTTCAGTTGCTTCCATTCCTATTCCACATATCAGAGCAATTTGCATTCCAGATAACATTACTTTGGTGTGATGCTGTGCAGTTATTAGGTTCAATGCCATGTTCTCAAACATTGGCAAGGATATTTGGATAAAATTTGTAAGGTCTAGGGATTTGTAGAATATTTGTTGCTTTATAAAGAAGATAAGTCATCTGTTGATATTTTGTGGTGGCTTCAAGGAGCATTTGATGAGCTTAATCATTATCATCCAGTGACGTGACATTGAGATCCTTCATAAGTAGCGGCAAAAGTTTCTATGTCTGAATTCCATTTGTGCTTATTCTTCCCTTCAAACAGTGTGAACTCTTGAGTATATAACTGCATGTTAGATAGCTTTTGTGACAATTTGGCTTAAATCACCTTTCCAGGTGATTGGATGCTCTGAACACTTGGTCATAAAGATGTTGTGTACATTGCTTTCAATCCATTATACCATCTTAGAACTTAACGTTTTTTGGGCGAAACTATGGTAATGAGAAGAAAATAAAATTGCAACATGTGAAATTTGAAGTTAACTAACATGTTTGCAAAAGATTTGGAGTCGTCGTCATTATCAGTCGTGTAAGAAGCTGTTGGGCAGGGGAGATTTGAGAGTTATATCATGTATAAGAGGGAAAATATGTGATTTACTTTCTGATTTCCTGTTATAAGATAGATATAGGGGACCACTTAGGGTAGCTCTCCTTTGTTGGTTTTTACCCATCGCTTCTTCTGCACTGCATATTCTGTTATCAATACACAGCAAATGTGATGAAGTGATTAGGGGATGCTAGGTTGTGAGCTATCTCTTTATTCAAAAGTTTCAATAGTTCTCCTACTGAGTGGGTGTGCAATATTGTCACAAGTGTCCTAAGTAGGCTAAATCTGCAAGTGCTTTAAGGGATAAATAGGAGTGTGGTCATAGTGCCGGCTTATTTAAGGTTCATTCCACCCTCCAGGTTTGTTTCTCAAACTCTAAACAATTCATAAGCAACTCAATTGTGTAGGCAAATTAATGTGGTGTTTTCTTCAATCTTTGAATAAGGGATGCGTGATAATATGAAGATCCTCTCATAGGGCACTGGAATGGTTTTTTTATTATCTGTCGTTGTGAATGCTGCTGGGAGTGACTGAAGCATGTTTGGTTTTTCTCTAAATGAATGAAGCATATGCAAATTATTGAAGATAGGGTTCACACTTATATGCGCATAAATCTGGAGGCCACATTTGATATTCTGTCTCCACAACTTCACACATTTGATCGAGTTACTTGAAATGGTCTAACTTGAGTGTCCTCTTTCATGGGGATCTATTTTATTCTTCTCACTTGAGGTGGAAGGAAAGTATCTTTGACATAACTTCACTAATAAGAGGACACACATCATTGTTGTTTCAAGTTTGAGCACCACAACACCTGGGTTAACATATATATTCCAATTCATATATTAGATTCCTCAAGTATACACATCGATGATGAGCATAGTAAAGGTACACATCGATGATGAACATATTAAAGGTAGGTTAGCATTTGCAGGGCCTGTCAAAACTCAGGTTGTTCTGTAGTTCCAGGTTAATTGTTCTTTATTTCTGTAGTTATATTATTTATTTTCATCTGGAGAAGGGAAAGGGGGTAACTATGAGTGAGCGAGGGAGACACTAGTAGCCACTTATAACCGAATGCTGTTTTTTTTACCAGCCTTTTTAACTTCCCATATAGACTATTTATGTCATTGAGATCTGATTTGCAAATTTCAAAATGGGTTATTGTCGAGAGCAGTACCTTACCTGTTTTCGTGTTGAACTATTGAGAGGAGTCCACATGTGTAGGCACAATAGCAGGGATCTATTGCATTTTGGTTTGTATGTGTCTTATTTAGTGGTCTGGTTTATGAGTCGTGATTAAAACTTGTTACATTTCTTATTCTGTGATTTGTTTGATCATTTTGATGTAGGTATCAAATATGCTGTGTGAAGTTGAATGTTGCTACCCTGTAGTGATCCCTGCCAAAAGCCTGGACAGAAGTGGACTAGTCCCCCAGAGTACAATCGTAACATGCCTTTTGAAGCAACTGTTGAATTGCAAGGCTGCAGAAGAGTGTGGTTACTTTCTTGCAGTAACCAACTTGAAGAGCATAGACAATGGAAAGTTCAACGACTCTGATAAGTATCTACTCTTCCTAGTAACCTTCTGCTGTCGCACCTTCCTACCTGTGAATGGAGAGGTCATGCTTGGTGTAGTGCAATCGATACATAGACGAGGAGTCTTCCTGAAATGTGGGCCCATGAAATACGTTTATCTCTCAGCTCGAAAGATGCCAAATTACTACTACGTTGATGGGAAAAATCCATATTTCATAAGCGACGATCTGTCCAGAATCGAGAATGATGTGGTGATCCGTTTCATGGTGTTTGGTGTGAGATGGACAACGAAAAACCAGCAAGTCGAAAGGGAATTCATGATTCTTGCCACTTTGGAAGGCGATCGCCTCGGACCAATTTCATTGCCAGGATCTGATGAACTGGGGTTGTAGAAGATTTTATATATGGGATGATTATGGCATTGTTGTGCTTGCTTGTTGAAAATATGATATTTAGTGTATTGAAATTTTAATTACATGATTTTTTAAAAAAATTTTTAAAAGCCTGATGTAATATACAGGTACAAAGATTTCAATTCCCCTGTTCAATAGAGATGAAGTTTGATAGCCTATTACTTTGTGCTTCATCTTCAGATTACATGGTTTTTTTTTATTATGTTGATTATAGATTGATGTTAAGATTTTTCATGTAATGACACAAAAATACCCATGGTTTTGTATGTGTGTGGGAATATTTGCATCAAATAAAAAAATAAGTTAAAATATTCTAATAAACTATTGATGAACTCATTACTTTAAGGACTTGAGGCTTTAAGGGATATGAATTTCAAACAGTGTATGTTGGGTTTCACCGGACTTTCTTTCATCCAATGAGTGGTATTAGATCTAATAATTAATGATTCTGGGTAAATTCTCGAAAAAAAACAATGTAACGTGCCAATATTAATGGCGATCAAAAAGTCATTAAGCCACATCAATTTTAAGTACATTAATTAAATGAAAATTCTATAGACATCATATTTTATTATACATTTTTTTGCTATTCGTACTAAAGTTAAATATAATAATTCGAGATATTATCTATGAACTTTGCACAATTTGTATTAATGAGACTATTTTAGGCTTAACGAATTAGAGTGAAAAATAAGTGAACCCGTTAAATTCATTAAGTAAAAGATTTGATACCAACTCTCTTAAACACTATACAAATTAGCTATATATATATATATATATTACAATTAGAAAGTTAAATTCTCAATTTATAAAAGTACAATAACAGTTAAGATTGATTCAATTTTCATTATTTTGATATAATGGTATAAATTTATTCTAATTTTTTTTTCACCAAAAAATATCAACTTCTCTACACGACACTCCAATGCTATAATTTAATTAATACACTCCTCAATATCAAACAATTCTATCAATCTACATCTACATCTACATCTATTTATTTTAATTTTAAATTACATAATTAAAATATTATTTAAAATACAAAATATTAGAAGTTTTTTTTTTTTTTTGAAATAAATACATACATTAGGAGCCGTAGGTGTAATCAATCCTTTCTATTAAGTATTGCTACTATTATCACTTTTAAAAAACAGTAAAAATTGATTTCTTGATTTTTGAGAAATTGAAAGGGCCAAAAAGCCCTCACGAAGGCATGAGTTGAGTCATTACAAACGGAAGAGTTGTTCGTCCATTGGATTCACTCGCAGCTGGAGAAGCACAAAAGAAGAACGTCTAAGGCTATTCTTCTTCTCGTTGCATACAGCCCAATAGGACGATTCTTCTGGTAACGGGTTTGCGCACCAAACTCTGTGATTTCTCTCTATCTGTTTCATGCATTTTCTTATTTATTTTCTAACCTACATTGGTTCGATAACGAAGAAATTTAGGACTTTCCTGTGTTTTTGTTGTTTGTTTCTTGAATTTGGGTTCTGGGTTTTAATAACTTGGAGCAATAGAGTGGTTTTTTTGGCACTACCTAAAAGTGAAAAATTAGATTTTTGCTCTGTTTTCTTTTGCGTCTTGAATATGGGTTTCGATTTCGAGTCTCCTTTGTGTTGATTAATAGGGTTTTCTTTGGTGCTATTTTTATTTTTGGTTCTTTTTTGTGATGATGTGTTAGAGAAATTTTTGTATTCTGTCTCACTGATGAGTATTTACGTTTCTTGGGTTTAGGGGTTACTACTACTTTGAGGGCTTTGGATTGTTATGAATATTGTTTGAGGAAACCCTTGATGGGATTTGTTTTGGTTGACTGAATGGGGGGGTTTTGAGGCAGTTTGGAGGAGCTGGATTTTTGGGTTTAATTTGTGGGTGTTGTGAGTACAGCATGCTATTGGAATTTGTTTATTTGGTTGTTCTTATCAACAAAATTTACAGAGATCATAGAAATTAGAATCCTGTTGCATACTTCCTTTTGCTTTATTCTGTTTGCTTTTCTATTTATGTGTTTCTTTTTTTCTTTGTAAATTTGTTAGATTTCTTATGGTTTGGGAATATGTGACTTTTTTTTTGTTGAGATATGTTTGTGTACTTCTAGTTTATAAGATTAGTAAAGATGTTTGTTCGTTCTATACCTTTGCATCTATAGTTTTTGTGGCATTCTAGTTTTGCAGCACAAATACAAAACTGAAAATAGATAATTGATTATATATATAGCCTCGTCTATATGTTGAAAACAGAATATCTGGAAGCTGACTATGCAGTAGTCCTAAATACTGTACGCCTTTTTAAGTGTATTGATATGTGATCATGATTGTTCCTGTGTGTGTTAAGAGTAAGATTAAAGCTGCTATTTTGGTAAAGAGAATAGGGTTTTAGATAATGGATCAACATTTCTGCCATCATCATCAGTAGGATAAGCAGAATCTAGTTTGTCGTAGTGCGCCTCACTCTGATTATCAATTTTTAATAAAATGAGATCCTATGTGTTATATGATCACTTTATATATTGGGAGTTTATGTGCTGATGATATGGACATAGTTGTATATAATTGATGTACACTTGATAGTGAGGTTGATGCAATACAAGTTTCAAACAGTTGTCATTGTCATTGTCTATGGATTATGAATTGTTCTAACATACTTATCACAACTATTTCTTGTTTTGTCATAGGAAGAGAGTGAGGAATTTTAAAAATCAAGTCAATAATAAATGTGTTTCTTGGGGCTGTTCTTTTTTTTTTTTTCCCTGTTTGCTTTTCTCTCTCTCCACTTCCCTCTCATCCTTCTTTTTTCTTGAAACTGAAATATAATTTGGACTTGGGGTGCCATTCTGGTTTTCTTTTCTTCCTATTTTTTATTCTCTTTGTCTTTCTCCTTCTCCTTCTCTTTGAGCGCCATTCTTCTTTTTTGGTGTTTGTAATATCTGGTCACTGGTGCTTATTTAGTTAATATTTAATTTGGAATTGTTTCCACTGTTGTGGGACTAATTAGGAATGCATCTTTTTATCACCTGGTTTATATTATTTTGTGTATTTGGAATGACAATTGCTTCTACTGTTGTGCAAATAATTAGATTACATTTCTTGTCACCTGTTTTTGATAAATGGTTACTGCAATAATTTTGGTCAATATGGCAGGTGGGAATTGTGGAAAATGTTTCTCAAAGTACAGTTGCCATGGAATATCATAATTCCTGCTGAAAACTTGGATGCTAAAGGGTTGATGCTTCAAAGGGCAATCATCATTCGTCTGATGGATGAGTTCTCTATTAAGAAGGCCACGAAAGATCTTGGTTATTTTCTTGCGGTGACAACATTAGAGAGCATTGGGGAAGGGAAGGTTAGACAAAACTCAGGGGATGTACTCTTTCCTGTTGTCTTCAGTTGCATCACCTTCAGGATTTACAGGGGAGAAATCTTAGAGGGAGTCGTTCACAAGATTTTGAAGCACGGAGTTTTCTTGAGATGTGGGCCTATCGAGAACATTTATCTCTCCAATAAGAAAATGCCGGGATATGAATATGTGCCTGGGGAAAATCCCATCTTCATGAATGAAAAGATGCCGAAAATTGAGAAAGATGTGGTGGTGCGCTTCATTGTGATTGGGGAGAAGTATATAGAGGCTCAGAGGGAATTCCAAGCAGTTGTTAGCTTGGAGGGGGATTTTCTTGGGCCCGTTTCTTAAAATGTTGCCTTCATCTTCGGCTGTTCGGTGGTTCTTATGCTTTAATGTACGACATTTTGTGTAAACATTTGATGTCTCATTGTGCGTAGTCTTCAACTGTATGAAAGCTAGCTAGTTGCTACATTATGGGGTAAATTTCTGCCCTCATTGTTGTTTTGTGACTAAACTCTTTGTGAACCTTTTCGATTAGTAGTTGAAGCCCATTTTCTTTACAAAAAAAGGTGGATGCCCTTTCTTATAGAATTCTAGAAATGGTGCAGCCACTATTACACTAGTATCCGCTCCTTTCCTGATATTATTTAGTCTTTCCTTCTGTTTATTTGCAACTATTGCCGGATCTTCGATTGCAGTAGTTCCCTTTCTCATATCTTTAATTATGCTGTTCCTTTTGCGCAAGCTCAAAGTACCACCAGCAAGTCTCAGTCTCAACTGATAAAATTAAATATTAAAAAACAACATGTCCATTGTCAAGAGTATCATCAAAACTACTTCCACTACACAATCTTAATTCATACTTGGTTATTCGATCTGATTACTCAATACGATTTGAAAATTTGAATCTCAATAAAATTTCATAAAAAATTAATAAATTCACCAAATTTAAGTTAACTTTCAACTTAATTTAATCAATCAGTCATTCAATTTAATGTTTTTTTATTTAATTTCATGTCAATATCATTAATAATCTAACTAAGTATGAATGCATATACAATAAGGTCTCTCAATTATATATACATCGGATCAGATTTACATGTATCCAAATCCAAATCCTTTTAAAGAAATTTAATCGGATTTGAGTAGGCAGATTAAAATATTAATGCATATCCGATTAAATAGATTCGAAGTTGAATCAAAATCCACTCTATTGACAGGTCTAAATAAGTCCATTTAAAAATAAATTACAAAAATAATTAAAACAATAAAGTTAAAAATTTGAGAGACAAAAGTAAGACTCAATGTATACTTCAAAGTCCTGAGTGGCATATCATGATAACTCCTTAAACAATAGGAAAATGTCAGACATCTTACCCGAGTAGCACTGTATCTGTCAGTTTATCATGTCCAACGGAGTAAACTTTTCCTTGTTTAAGGCCTTCTTATCCGCCATAGGATGCCTTATGAGAGAAGCGGCTAAGAAATGGAGAGGTGTGTTGCCAGCAATGTCTTTCTGTGTTATGAGAGTGCTGATTGCTCTACTGTTTTGTAAGATATATTTGACTATGGCCTTCCTTTTTTCCTTCAATGCAGTATGAAGTATATTTTATCTCTTGTCATTCGTAATTTCCCAGCAATCTGGAGAGTGCGACATAAGTATTTTAACGATAGAACAACAACCTCTACTAACTGCTATATGAAGAGCTATATTGCTGTCATTGTCTGAAATGTATGCAACGGAATTATCTACATCTAATAGCTGGGATGTCCTACAAGAAAATCCACTCAATGCAGCATAATGCAGCGGACTCAATCCTTTTTCATCCCTTTTCTTGACTAGAGAGTTCTTCCAATTCAACAATTTGACTGTACAAGCTGGGGAAGTTGGTGAGAATAAAGATGAAATGATACACATGTTAGCAAAATGACATAGAAAAAAAAATCAAAATCAATCTGAATTCTTTAAAAAAGAAATTAATAGCCTGCAGTTGAACCTTAGGCAGTCAAAATGACAAATCAAGATTCACATAGCTGCCTCAAGTATGGTGGAGAAGGTTTTATTGATTTTTTTGGGAAAGTAGTCACAAGATCGACTCTTGCAAAACAATCCCAGATTAGCAGATGTGCATGATTGTGGATATTACTGTACTTTCAAACTTTGGTTGTAGCCATGAGTCCAAAGGATTTGTTTTTGGGATAGTTCTCAACTAATCAAAATAGGCATTCATACCGATCGAAAATACTTTCTATTTTTTCAAATGCTCCTCCAAAGAAGCATTCAAAAGATTCGGTTCCTCTATGTGATTCTTGTTAGAAAAAAATTGATGATGAAAAATGAAAATAATAAAAAGTGAATTGAAAGAAAAGAAATGGAAAGGAAAATTTATTTTCTTGTATGCGTTTTATTAGAATGAAAAGTTTGTTAAAAAAATTGATGCAAAGACTAAATTATCCTTATCATATCAATCTAATGGAGAAAGGGTAAGTGGACAAAACAGGAAAATAAGAGAATTTTCACAAAAAACAAAAATTTTCTCGCATAATTTGTGGGACACCAAAGTAGATGTTTACAAGAAAATTTGACACTTGAAGAAAAAAAAAATTCTTGAGCAATTGTACTTTCAGGCTAATCAAACAAAGAAAAAGTTGGTTTGTTTTTTTTTTTCATTTTCTTATACTTTCCAATGCTTTAATGCTAACCAAACAAAGTCTTAACATATTTTATGCAATAGCAAAAAAATTTCTGAAACCTTCTTCCCCTCGCTCTACGCCTTTCTCTGTTGGCGATTGCCTCTCTTTACGTTCCTAGATGCATTAATAATTATTGCTTAGCGACAATTGTGTTCGACTTTGGGTGTTCAATTCTTCTCTTTTGCAACATCCTACGAGTAGATAATCAACATTCTTATACTGCCCAACTTTAAACTCGAAACTTTATTAATTCCCAAATGAGTTGGCATTATCCCTTGTAACAAACAAGGGGCACAAGAATATTGAATGGCTAATAACCACATCATTTTTGAAGTGAAAGTTGGGCTGAAATTTTGCGAATTATGTCATCAGTAGTAAATAATAATGATGTAGTACTTTGTACCTCTGGTTTTGGAGAGTACAACGGCGTGTAAAGCTGTACTACCACTTGGGCCATCATAAGCTGGTGATGTGCATGATTCCAAGATCACTTCAATCAAGTTAAAATATCCCCTCTCTACAGCAATATAAAGTGGGGTCTCCTCGGCTTTATTGGCAGTATATGAATACTCCTGATCTTCTTTTGTTAAAATCTCAACCACATGCAACTGATTATATCGAACAGTTAGGTGCAAGGCTGTGTCTCCATCCTCGTTTGTCATTCACAACATCTCCTTGGTTGCTTCAACTCCACTTTCAAGCCCTGCACCACCATCTGATGCTGCAAATCGAATGAGTGCCATGACTACGTCTTTCTTTCCATTCCTTGCAGCAAGATGAAGTGTAGACTCGCCACTTGAATTCACGCAATGTAATAGCGATGGATGCATTGATAGGATCTTCGATACACATTCTGTGTGACCCTGTTGGGATGTAATGTGGAGAACAGTATTGTGGTGTGGAGTCAATTCCACAAGTTTTTCCTTGTTTTGCACCAGAACATCAATGTTGTTGGATTCAGCAGCAATGCACAATTTAGGATCCATGTGGATAGTATGCTACTGCTATATGCAGATAGATCTTTCTTTTGCCAGTGAAGGACCTAACTCGTTCTCTCGCGTATTCAAAATTATAGAACTATATGGAGGAGTGATGTTACAAGATATATGCACCATTAAATAGGCATAAGGTTAGCTACCCATCCTATAAATAGTAACATCCAAGGATGGGCTGGAGACACTAAAAGTAATGGATTTCACTCACTACATAGATTAACAATAGCCGAATGGAATAAATTGTACTTTACCAATCAAAGTCGATTGTACATAAACCTATTTTTGAAGTCGTCTTTGAACTTATCCCAACTTTGTTTTGACTTGTCTACATGTCATTATTTTGTTAGTACCTTGGACAAAGTCTCGAAAGAGTTGCAATAAAAAAAGAGAGAAATAATTAGATTTTGGTCACACACAGACACCAACAAACATGCTAATTCAACAGTTTCTTGTAAGCATCTTTCTTTCTTTCACTTTTAATTTTTCAAAGGATCCGAGTAGGAAATAAGCAAGCAAAATGATTGTACAATGAACTCTTTCTACGAAATATTTTTGTTTAAGTGGAAAACAATTTCGTCCTAGAACAAAAGCACGTCGATTACTAATTTGCAAAAGTATATGTGCACACGTATAAAGGCGATTAATCTTGCAGGAAGACAACAAATCCCGACAAAAGAGAGAGAGAGAGAGAAAAAATTACTAAATTACATATATAGTGCACAAACTATCAATCTTGTGTTAATTAAGCCCTGAACTTTTTTTATTGTTAATTGAATCCCTAAACTCTCTAATTATGTCAATTGAGTCTTTCTACCAACCTCCGTTAGAGTGTGTCACTCCCGTGACTATATGACACAAAAAGACAAAAAGATTTAATTGACACAATTAGAGAGTTTAAGGACATAATTGACACACAAAAAAAGTTTAGGGCTTAATTGATATAAAGATTATAATTTGATAACCATATGTGTAGTTTACTATAACCTTTTTGTGTCACATGAGTGACCTATTTCATCATTTTTTGTTCAAAAAACTAAGGGAGGCAGACATATGGAGCTTAATTGACATAATTTGAAAGCTTAAGGGCTCAATTAACACAAAAAGTGTTTAACAGCTTAATAAACACAAAGGTCATAGAAATAAACATCAATCCAACAAATTATGTAAATATGAAAGTGAGAGAATTGTCGCATTTACTTTAAACATCATTCAATTGGAGATAACAATAGATTTTATACCGTAAATAAAGTACTTAATTGGAGCTTAGACGCGAACTAAATCACTCTCTTTAAGACGGTGCACGCCCTTACGGATAAATTCTCCGTTGTAGCAAGTTACAACAGGTCACCTTCTAGGATACAACAGCTCAACTATTCACTGTAATTTCTCATAGTCTACACACACCTTGAAAAATAAAAATTTTACACACTTTTCTTTGCCTAAAAATATAATATAACTTACACACCAAAAATAGATGAAGAAAAGTCTTCACCAATTATCAATGAACTTTGTAATTTAGTGTTGTTGAAGCTAGGATATAAGGTAAATGACTGACGTAAGGTATTAATATAGAGATACAAAAAGAGGTGCAAGATGCTTAACCTTGAGTAGCTTTTTCATTTAAACTTTGAACACGCATACTCGCACTAAGAGTCATCAAATTTTTCTAAATATTAGCTTGTGGGGACAAAGGAAGTCCTCATAGTATGGGCCTACCAAAAATGTGTAGGACCTTCCTTACACTTTGACATAAAAGCTTTAAGTCTAATAGGTAATAAAATTATGTTTTATATGTGTAAGCTACCGACACTTAGTTTTTTTGGCATTTCACATCATTGCATTACTCAATTCGTATGGAACTAAATAAAATATGATTTGTCCTCAAAGGAATTAATTAAAAATTTTGAAGACACAAGATTCTCCTCAACAATGAAATACTATTCAAACCCAGTCGCCTTTAATTTATCTGCGATTAATGTCACTTTTATTTTTTAAACCAAAATAAACATTATTAATTCTATCATTTATGGTGTCCACTGGCCCAAGGCTCATCCGACCCAACCACCCCAGCCCAGAAAATTCAAGGCATGGGTTAGAACATTCTGCCAATGTTGGGCCTTTAGAATATCACTTGGCCCATGGACTGGCCTGGGCCAAGACTATGTAATTTTGATGTGAACATATATTTAAGTCAAACATAAGTATAAAAAATTATAAGTAAGTTATACTTTTCAGTTTCCTTTTTTTAATATTACCTAATTATCCCTATCTTAATTCGTGCATAACCAATATGAAAATATTAATTACATTGATATTGCGATATATACAACCTTTTGAATTTTAAAAAACTGATATCAATTCATTTGACATTATCCTTTTGAACCAAAATTTTTATTCTTCAACATTTCAGTTTTTTTTGAAAAAACTCTTCGTTTTACATTGCATGCAGTAATTTTTTTTTTTTTTGGGTGTAGCGAGATCTTCGCTTCTTCACCATTTTAGAGTTTCATATTCACTTCTAGCCCAACAGAAATTGTTCAACTGGAAGTGTTGGTTTCTTCTTTGTTTTTTAAAAAATTGAATTTTTTTTAAAATAATATAACAACATAAAAATCAATGTGATAAGTTATTCATAAACAGTGACAACATATAAAACAGTGTGACAAATTATTAAAAAATAATGTAACAACATATTAAAAAATTGTGACAAGGTGCTCGAAAATTATGTAACAACATATTAAACAATATGACAAGTTATTTAAAAATAATGTAACATCCATTATAAGAATTAGGGTTTTTTGTGACAGCTGTGTTTACCATCACAAAAAAATCGTGTTTTGAAGAAAAATAAGTTTTTGTGGTAGATAGTACTATAATACTATTTGAGACTAGTCATTGCCGTCACAAAGATTTTTTGAGACTCCACTTGTATGCATTTTTTTGTGCCCGTGTCTCAAAAGGCCATAGTTCTTGTAGTGAATATAAAACAAATGTGACAAGTTACTGAAAAATAATTTGATAACATATTAAAAAAATGTGATAAATTACTCAAATTTGTTATTTAAAGATCACAAAATTTAACATTATTAAATCATGAAAATCATGATTCCGAAAATCTTGTGTTTATTCAAAAATTTAGAATGAGCGAAATCATTGGCTTTTTGTCTGAAGATCAAAGTGATTCCGTGTTTAAGGGTAGTGGAGAATGATTGGCATGATTCAAAGATACATATTTTGGGTTTTCATAATCGAATTTTTTGTGAATGAACTATTCCAATCGTTATCGACTGTTCCGGCTATCGAAGCTTCAACCCAAAAGTTCTTCAAGATGATTGCATTTTCACAGTAATGAAGTTGATGATTCCGAAAAAATATAGAGTAACGAAATTAATGAGATTGTTCCTTCAAAATTCAAAGAAACAAATCAATGTAAAAACCGGTGAGAGATATATCCAGCGTCCTTGTTTTAAGGGAGAGTGGTCACCGTTTTTGGCGTTGATTTAGAGAGTGGTGAGTGGTGTTTTGATTTTTTTAGGAAACTGGAGTTTGAGCATTCAAGACTTATGCTTGAAGGGGTACTATCGACTTTTTCATTCAAAGTGAACTTTTTTCCAAAATTTTTTTGAAAGAAAACTCTCTCAAATAAAAGTTAATAAGGGAACTGGCTTCTTCCCTTTTGATAAATATAGTAAGAGGCGCACACCTAGATAATTGCTAATAATTAAATAAGATCTCTTTATTTATTTTAATTTTGTTTTTTTTTTTGTTTTGTTTTAAGCTATACAGTTACTATTGACACTTAAAACCTCAAATTATCACGGTCCTAATTGAAAAAAATATTGTCTAGTACATTATCCAAATGCCTCTAAAATATTTCACTCATTTCAATTGAGCCCTCCTTAAAATTCTTCATATCGTTCAATGTGCACCTTTCATCCAACTTCAACAAATTTTTTATCAGAGTGAACCTACCTATCCAAAATATTTGAACTGATTTGTCTTTTTACTTCTGGTCTATTCAACTATGACTTCAGCCGTGTGAACCTTCAGGTACTGTTTTATTTAATGTTTGTTCAATTACTCTTTTACCTGCAAATGCAATGTAAAAAGTCTACCCAAATTATCGTCACCCGTTCTAGATTAATATTCTTTTGTGATTCCCATTTGCGGAGTTTTTTATTGTAATTACATTGATTTTTTAATCTACATTATCACTTTATGATTGTTTTTAGTTTATTTTTCATTTTATTGTACGTGTTGCATCGTTGAAAGTAAAAGATTAGAAGCACACATATTTGAAACCATTTTCATATAAACAACGATAAATTTAAAACTAAGTTTGAAAATAGTAGAAAAGAAGAAAAACAACCATAATTTGGTTGTAAATTATCGTGGGAGGTCAAAATCACATAAGTGCCATACGAACAAGTCTTTGGCACAATAAAAAAGAGAGGGAATAGAGAGGACGCCAACAAAACATGCAGCGGCTGCAAGGGTTGATGATTGTTCCAACACCACATAAGTAGATGTACTAATGCAACCATCATCGCTACAATGACGGCAATAACAAAGTACACAGTGGCAATGCCCCCCCCCCCCCCCCCCCCCCCAAAGTTGAGAAATATAGCTATTGAAGGGAATAGTAGGGCTATAGCATCGGAGATAACAATTGCTTGGAAAGCTGGTCTTTTGAGAGAACTGCCATTCCACGGACTGGGTTTTCAACGCCACTTTGGTTGTAGCCACCAGACATGGTGAATCAGGCCGTGAAGGTTACGGTAACTATGAGTCCAGCCACAATAATACTAGTATCAATTGTTTTCCTGATATTTTGTAGTATTGCCTTCTGTTTCTCGCAACTATTGCCAGATCTTCCAATGGGGTAATTCCCTTTCTCATATCTTTAAGTATGCTGACCCTTTCCCGCAAGCTCGAAGTACCATCAGCATGACTCAGTTTCCGCTGATAAAATTAAATATTAAAAGGCAACATGTCCATTGTCAAGAGTATCATAATCAGCAAAACTAGTTGCATTACACAAGTCGTAAACAATATGTGCATAACGACGATGCCCTTTCTTGTATAATGTGTTTCCTTTTTAACTCTTTGTAGTAGAACCTTAGTTGCAGTGGTGTCCATGCTTTTATTTAGATGTTTACTATTGTCCTAAAGGTTAAGAGGCAATACCTAAGCACCCTTTCTAGTCTAATTAGATAGATCAAGATACATGGGAGTCACGGGACAAAATATAGAGTAAAGTACTTTATCCTCTTGAACTATTGCATTTATTTCACTTTATACCCCCAATTATAAAATTTCTCATATTACATCTCAAAGTATTAATTTTGTTTCAAATCACTCTAATAGAGAACGATTAACAATTTTTTGATGGATTAGAATGACAAACTTGAAAGAGGGAGGAAAAACAAGAGCTTTATACCAAGTGCCTAGTTCCACTTTATTTTAAGAAGAACAAAGTCATGGATAAGTATTTTTCTTGATTTTTGAACTGCACATGTACAATAGATAACTGTTTATTGATAGTACAAACAACTAACATGTATATTTATCATCAAAAAAATAATAATCGTTATCTATTGAAGTGATACGAAACAAAATTAATATTTTAAGGTGTAATATGATAAATTTTATAGTTGAAGGTATAAAATAAAACAAAGACAATAATTCAAAAGGATAAAATGTAATTTACCCCAATATATATATATATATATATATATATATATATAACCCCTTTAATTGGGTAACTTAATATTGGCGAAATTGAAGCTTGCACACCAAATCTAGCTTTGGTTGCTCAACTTCGAATTGTATGATTTTAATCACTAAGACTTTTAAAAAACAATTATTTAGACAAAATTGAGCAATAGGACTAGAGCTATCAACAGATCAGATCTTGATCTACCCAGATCCAAATTCAATAAAAACTTAAAGTTCCAAATTCAATCCGTTTAACCAATGAATTTTAAAATTTTAATTTATCTCTGCATCAGTTAATAATTAGATATTTAATTCAAATACTCAATATAATCTGAAAATTTAAATTCCAATAAATTTTTCTAAAAAATTAATGAATTTACCAAATTTAAGAAACTTTTAGCCTAATTTAATGAATCAATCATTCTATTCAATATTTTTTATTTAATTTCATGTCAATCTCATTAATAATCTAACAGAAGTTCTATTGATTAAATTTATATATATATATCAAATTTTTATCAGATCAAATTTACATATATTCAAATCCAAATCCATTTCAAAGATTTGAATTAAATTCGTGCAAACAAATTAAAAAATTAATTTATATTCAATTAAATGAATTTAAGTCGGATTGGATTTAGATTAAAATTCACTCTATTGACAAGCCTAAATAAGTCCATTTAAAAATAGTTTACAAACTTAAATAATTAAAACAATAAAGTCAAAATTGAGAGACAAAAGTAAGATTCAACGCATACTTCGAAGTCAACTTTTCTATGTTTAAGCCCTTCTTACCCGCCATAGCATGCCTTACGAAGTCAGGCACGAAGCAGCTAAGAAATGGAAAGGTGTGTCGTCATCTTCACCTTTCTGTGTTATGAGAGTGCTGATTGCTCTGCTGTTTTGTAAGATATATTCTACTATGGGCTTCCTGTTATCCACTAATGCAATGTGAAGTATAACTTGTCTCCTGCCATTGATAATTTCCCAGCAATCTGGAGAGTCTGACATGAGGATTTTAACCATAAAAACAATCACCTCTATTAATTGCTATATGAAGAGCTGTATTCTTGTCATGGTCTAAAACAAAAGGATTACCACATCTGATATCATAAATACTTAAAAAACTGATTTTCGTGATAGAATAGTCATTCCTGGGACTGGGTTTTTAATGCCACTTTGGTTGTAGCCACCAGGTATGATGAATCCAGCCGAAAACGTTACGATAACTATGAGTGCAGCCATTGGTGTCGGATGTTTTTCTCATCTCTGCTAGTCTCTTCTTTTTCGCTTATTTCTTCTTTTCAACTTCCCAATCTTCCTTTTCGATGGTTTTCCCTCTCTTGTCATGACATCTGTTCATTTCTGTCTACCAACTCCATCTAGCACCTGCTTTTGTGAATGCTCTCTGATAGAATTACATATTACACAAAACAAACACATCAATTGTAATGATTTATATACTTGGAGGGACAAAGCACCAATTTTTTTTATTACTTTTCCTACATAATGATGTAAGGTTGTTATGAATCAAATGAAGTATACACCATTTCTTATCAAAAAAAAAAAAAAACAAAAACCTATGTACCTTTCTAGTATATTAAAATAGGTCAATATAGATGGAATTCGGGACATTCTTATCCCATGATAAATAAGAAAGAGGGCTAGAACCACAATGTTGTGGGAGGATATCTATGTCGTCGTAGCAAAATGATATACCATAATCCCTTGTTCATTAATGATTAAATCTTCCTTTTTTTTTATTTGGATAATATAAACTTTATTTGGGGACTTAATTAGGGACTTAACTCAATATAGTCATGTTTAGTTGTAGGTTCTAAAGTTCGACAAAACTCACTTTCAATCCAATTTTAGAAACCATTTGATCAGTTGTCAATTAGGTCCCGAGATTAGGTCTTCATATATTAGGTCAAAGTACATTATATTGATTTTGGTCTCTCAACTTCCAATTATGTGATTTTGGTTCTAAAATTTTTTTAAAAATAATTATTTTAATAAAATTGAGTAATAGGACCATTTAAAACATAGCAAAAATTTTAATAACTATAACAATAAAATTAAAAAATTCACTGACAAAAGTGAGCCTGAATACATACTTCGAAGAGCAAGGACATGAATTTACCCTAATTCTTTTTAGTCTTATAATGGCTGGTCATGCTTTGCTTGCTCACTCCTTAAACAAATATAATAAGAAAAAAGTCAAGTATCCTTACCTTTACAGCTCTGCTATAATCAGGTAGCATGTCCAACAGAGTCAAGCTTTTCTTGATTAAGGCGTTCTTGGCCACCAAATCATGATGTATGATTCCAGGCACAAAGCAGGCGGATGCAACCATCAAATGGAGAGGTGTGTTGCCCTCGTCTTCCTACGTTATAAGAGTGTTGATTCCTTTGTTGTTTTCTAAGATGTATTTAGTTGTGTACTCCCAACCATGCTCCAATATAATGTGAAGTATATTTTGTCTTTTACCATTCACAATTTCCCAACAATCAGGAGTGTGTAATTTGACTTTTTCTGCCCATTTTCATCTGTTTTCTGAACTAGAGATTTGTTCCAATCCACTAATTCTTTTATACCTGTTGGAGAAGGTGATGAGAGTAAAGATAAAATAATACACATGTTAGCAAAATGTCATAGAAAAAAAAAAGAAAATCAAAATTAATCTAATTTTTTTTATATATAAAGAAATTAGTAGCTTGTAGTTGAAACTAATAGCCACCGCCCCATCATTGGATTTAATGGTTGCAAGTTTGAATATAGTCATCCCTATCCCCATATACACATCGCTAAAAAAAAAAATAATAATCATGGAATCCAACGTACCTTCGTTCTTGAAGATTACTACCCCATGTAATGTTGTTCTATCACCTGGGCCACTATAAGATGGTGATTTGCATGTTTTCAAGATCACCTCAACAAACTCATGAAATCCCCCTTCTGGAACGTAAAGTGGAGTCTCCCCATCATTATTGGTAGCATATAAATATTCTGGATCTTCCTTTGTTAAAAAATCAACTATATCAAACCGATTATATCGAACATCTTCGTGCAAGGCTGTTTCTTCATCCTCATTTGTCAACCTTAGCATCTCCTTGACTGCGCCAACTCCACTTTCAAGCTCTGATGCATCAAGTAATGTTGCACAACTGGCAAGTTCTAGAACTACGTCGTAGTGTCCATTCTTTGCTGCAAGGTGAAATGCAGACTTGCCACTTGAATTCACGCGACGTAATAGCAATGGATGCACTGACAGGATCTTTTGCACACATTCTGTTTTGCCTAATTGGGATGCAATATGCAAGACAGTATTTTGGTTTGGAGTCACTTCAACCCCAATTTTGTCCTTGTTGTGCATTAGAACATCAATGTTGCCGGATTCGACAGCAATGTACAATACAGGATCCATCTTGCATTTTCAATTACTATGAAGGAGCAATCTGTTGGGAGTCGTGGAGTGATGTTACAAAAAAGAATTGAATGGACAAAGCAAACTAACCAAAACATACATAACATTATGTAGGCACAAAGTACCTATTCTTATCATAAGAATATCCATGGCTAATTAGGTTGAGTACACTGAAATTAACGGATGACTTGAAATGAAAGTAAATGATTTCTTATTGCTTAGATTGAACATTTTGAAATAGTACGTATTTGATGATTCTCTTTTCACTTTTTCTTGTTAATGCAAACACAACAGGGAAGAAAAAGATTGGATGTGAGTGAAGCAAGGAATGAATTAAAGGTAAAACTTTGCCAACTATATCATCAACTAATTAAAGAGCTCTGTAATCTTAATATTGTTGAAGCTATGACGATAAACTGCTGAATTAGCAAGGTATTAATACAAAGATACAAAAAGGGAAACTTCCAACTTCACATAAGGGTGGTACCTCATTCGAGGTCCAAGTGACCCTTTCCCACTAAATGGGTCAATAACTTTAATATAAATCTATAAGCTATCCCTTGCCCAAAAACGATGGTAGAATTGCTGCTCATACCAAGTCCGATCCCATATTTAGGACTTATATGGCCATAAGAAACGAACATTTTATTTCATGTTTGCAGGATAATTTAGCCATTAGAAACGAACACAATGTTACACTAGCATACAAACAGCTTGCTGCACATAAATTCCAAGAACATTTCATGTTTTCCAACTTCGCTCTATGCAAGAATAGTGGGGTTGATTAAAACTAACATAAAACTAAATCAGTAAATCATCAGTAAAATAAATCAGTAAATAAAGAGCTAAATCAGTAAATTAACATAAAACTAACAGAGCTAAATCAGTAAATAATCAGCGCGGTGATATTGCAGAAACCAGACATGCACTGCAGAAAAATAACATAATACTTATATGACACATAAAAACACAGATGTAATAATGACTAAAGAGCTAAATCAGTAAATTAACAGAATTAAGAACAAAGGGGTCACTAACTAAATGGTCCATTAATATCCCTCCCTGCTGATACACGGCCTGATCTGGGTGGGTTTGATCATCTCTCTCTCTCTCTCTGCTGACACACACTCCCTACACTTACATATATGCATACAATGCAGTACTCATAAAAAGAATTAACGGCTCTCTATGTTTCTTTCAGCGAAAGTGAAAAGATTCAAAAAATCAGTAGAATCAAATCAGAAAACTAGCTACCCCGAAAAAAAGCTGTTCATTGATAGACAAAAACTCAAAATCAATAATGAAATCTACATACAAATATACAGATCTATGCATATTGTGGTGAAAAAAATACAGATAAAACAAAAAAAAATCGATTAGGGTCTGTGATGTACAGATCTATGTATATATATATACATGTATCTATACAAATAAAGGGATTACACTCACATTCACAGCGAATGGAAGCTTCTTCTTCGTCGATCTGTGAGTGGAATCCCCTTCTGCGTCGATCTGTGAGTTGGAAGCCCCTTCGTCTTTGAGAGAGGAGAACAGAGTCGTTGAGAGCTCCGGAGAAGAGAATGAGGTGCTGAGAGAAAGGAGACAGTCGTTGCTGAGAGAAAGAGAATACAAGATTGAGTAGCAGAGAGAGCCATAGAAGCCAAGAGAGGGTGGTCTGTGAGAACAAAAATGAGAGAGAGACCCATTTTTAATGAACAGTAAATATCATGACTCTGTGCTATTTTCTTCCCAAATTCTTATTTGGGTTAATCCCAATTTGTACTTTTAAAAGATAGTTCGAATTTTAATTTATACCTTTAAAAATTAAAAATTTCAATTTATACTTTTAAAGATAAAAATTTGTATCAATGTGTACCCCAAAGATAAAAAATCTCAATTTGTATCTTAAAAGATAAAAATTTGTATTAATGTGCATCTCTAAAGATCAAAATTTTAATTTACATTCTCAAAGATAAAAATTTGTATCAATGTGCACCTAAAACTAAATTAATCAATTATACCTAGATCTCCTCATGCTTGTCACTTAATCATTGGGATCTCTTCACATTTAGAATATTACTCCTACATCTCATGACGTTTGTACACGTATAACACGTAACTCATTTTCATTGATATCTGTTAATATAACCGTTAAAAAATATGATTTTATCTTAATAAAAAATTATAATTTCGTATTAACATTTATTTTATGAGTCTAACATACTCTAAAGGTCAAAATTAAGCTCACCATTTGAATGTCTAATAGAATAAAATGTTGTACATTGAGTGATATATTACATTGGATATAAAAAATATTATATAAATATCTACATTCTATTGGACATTCAAATGGTAAGTTTGATTTTGAACTTTAGAGTATATCGGACCCACAAAATAAAGGGTAATATGGGGACTAAAGTATGATATGTCCTTAGAAGAATTAATTTGGTGCTTTAAAATTTTTGAAGACTCAAAATTCTCCTCAATGATGAAATACTATTCAAACTAAGTAAGCCGCATTTTTGTAATTTATCTTCTATTAAGCAGCTAAACATATACTATCGACACTTAACACCTCAAATTATCACAGTCGTGACTGAAAAATATATTGTTGTGTAAATTATCCAAATGCCTCTAAAATATTTCACACATTTCAATTGAGCCCTAAATTAAAGTTTATTTCCATTGAATCCTTAAACTTTTTAATATCATTCAATATGCACCTTCCATTTCGGCTAATTTTTTGTCGGAGCAGACCCGCCTATCCAAAATATTTGGAACATTATAATGAAAAATCTCAAATCCCCAAACCCTAAAACACAACCCTCAGACCCACCAGTCCTATTATACTTTAGACATTGAGCAATGTTATAGAAATTTAATTCAATACAACCATTAAATTAATTATAAATTTTAATGTTAGATGGAGCCCACTTTCAATCAAATGTCTGTATTAAATTAAGTCCTTAAATTAGATTCTCAAATTAGGTCCAAATAACATTTTCTTAGACATTATAATAAAAAAACCTCAAATCCCCACAACCGAATCCTCTGACATAGGCGCCCTACCCGTTCTTTAACCGGCCCTATTCATCTTCTTTTTCTGGTTTCACCACCTGAATCTAACTGAAAACCCCACACCACCACCACACTTCAGTTTTGAATCCTAAGGTGTTGTTTACAAGAACAGCCAGCCGCAGGAAAAAAAAGTTAAAAACAAGAAGCAAATAATATAAAAATACTGACCCCTCAGGCAATCTTCACCTAATTGCGGGTTCAAAGCTAAAGTCAAGCTCTGCCAAAAGCTCATACCACCGGCCTTGTTTTGACCGAAGTTTAAAATAAAATCTAAGGGTGACACGTGAAAATAATCCCGTGATTGTGAAAGAGTTTGTGAGAGTTTATACTTGATAGAATAGTTAAAAAAATATGACTCTAAGAATATTGAACAGTAACGAAACGTGACATTATAAACCATCAGTTAGAAACATTTCGGTGTACATCTGCATGTCTCGAGGAAGAATGCCATGATTGCAGTTATGGTCAGAAAAAATGATCTCGACGGTTAAGGGTAATCTCCTATAAATAACATGATTGCAGCTGTGTGTTGTGAAGTGTGCATTGAGTTATTGAAATTTGGGAGAAAAAGTGTGTGAGTGTGTGAAATTTGGGGAAAAAAATATACCCGCTATAAGTTTAAACTCTCATCTATTTTATTATATAGATATTATAATCTACTAATTCTTTTTATAACATGAAGTGATAGCTATCAATGAATCAACATTTTATCTTAAATATTAGTTTCACGCAATGCCATAGAAAAAATTAGTGGTGAGTCTGTGCATTATTCTTGATCTAAGTCATGTTTATTTATAACGATACCAAGAATAAAATCGCCATGAAGACAAGTCTATAGCAGAGTCAAGGAACCACTGATTTGAGCTAGAGGCTTGACCCTCCTGAAACAAGAGATCATTTTTTAGCCCAGGTTGGTCACAATTGCAACCAGATCAACAATCGCCTAAATGAGCTCGACAAAGCCTAAAACAATTTGAGCCACAAGAGGAGGAGAGATGAAGAGCAAAGCACCAGATTCTATCCAATGACGAGATTATCAATGCCACGTCACTAATTTTTAGAATGTCACATTATGTCTAGAGAAATATAATCTTAACAACTAAATATTTCCACGAAAATCCTAAAGAACAAGGAACCATCTTAAGATTGCTTGAGGACCAGTTTATTAGTTAGTATAAATAGGCAAACTCTTGTCTTGGAGTAGGTGTGAGCAAATTTCTACCCATAAAGTTGTTACCCTCTTCTTCTCAAACAAGCGGTACAAACTATCGAAACAAGAGAGTCTATTAGAGTTGCTTAATCAAGTTTTTCAGATGGTGAACCATTATACCTTCTCTGTTATACATATTATTGTTGTTACTTTACTCATGATCAATCCACACACCATACAATCTACATATTAACATTGTTGGAGAGCTATTTGACCCTCTTTCATCATACTTCACGATTACTAACACCATTGTTAGGAAATTCACACAAAATTCTCAAACCTGTAAAAAATAACAATAAAGAAAACACACGCCAAAGAAAAACAATCACACGCACAAGACAATATTTACGTGGTTCGATAATTTGCCTACGTTCACGAAACTGTAAAGGTTTCACTATTCTCAAGAACGATTACAGAGAGAGTGGCGGCCGTACTGAATCAATTAAATTCTAATCACCCAAAAGAAACAAGTTTTATATGTCTTGCACCAGGTTACAAACAAACAGGCCCAAGCCTTCGCTCGATAGACTAAGCCTCAAAAATTTTTCATTAAAAGCCACGTAATATTTTTCGGGTCGGGTTATCATTCGGATCAACATAAAACTAGACTCCACAAAAACCCAACAACCATTAATTTTAAAATATTTAAGCTTAGTAAATAAAAATAAATCCTCGTTGACTGATACCTAATTCATGACACATGAGATTGGCACAAAGAATAAATATTTTAAAATTTGTGCTTGAGTTCAATTGATTAGTTAAATGAACTAATTTAAATGAGATTTTATTTAAATCAATCTCAAATTATTCATAAATTACTCATGTACAGCTCAATTCATGTACCATATAATGCAAAAACCTTTGCTATAAAAAATATGATAGCATTGAAACACAGATGTATAATAAATGAAGTCTACTGTGCGGATTTTTTTTTAGTATTATACCGTTATGTATAAGTTTTTAAGATCTTTTGTATAATTTTTTAGTCTCATTCCAAACAAAGCCTACAGCACAACAAAAGGATTGGCTAACCTAACCTTTGCCTAGCCAATCTGATCCATCAAGATCCATGTTAGCCAGAGCATGATTCAGCTCAGCAGTTGTCATGGCAGATCAACAATTATCAAAACAGCTCGACAGCTGTTGACATAGCCTAGTCTTCATTGGAAAAGGAGAAAAAATGCATTACACTACCAAAGCTTACCTTGGACGAGAATAATTCATCTCTAAAATGTCATGTTTTCAACTTCTAGAATGTCACGTTATGCTTAGAGGACGTTATTGCACACAGAGAGAGAGAGGAGATGAAGATCTCTGTCTTCGTCTCCGTCTTCGCCGGAGATCTCTGTCTTTGTTGCATAGCCTCGTTGCAGAGAGAGAGAGAGAGGAGATGGAGAAAACAGGCAGCGAAGGGCTTTTATACTGAAAGAAAAAAAATGCATTTTACTCCTAAAGAAGTTTCATGGGTGGACCTGGAGGAGCTGTTGCCCATATTTTCATTTTGTTTTAGAAAACAACGACAATATCATTTTTTTTTGTTTTTTAAAATCACATCTTAATTTCTAAATTTTTAAAAAAATTAAAAAACAAAAGAGTTAAACAAATAAAATTTTTAAAAAACTAAAAAAAAAAAAGTTAAACAAATAAAATTTAGATGCTTTTACAATTTTAAAAACAAAATTTTTTTTTCAAAAACTAAACCAATCACGCCCCAAATTTTTCAAATTCACTTCGAACTCAGCTCGGAGTCGTTCCACTAACTGCCCTAAACTTGAAAACTTCAACGCCTTACCCTACCGAGCCAAATGCAAAAGTGTGTTTCCAAACGGACCCTTAGTCTACGCCTCTATGGACTTTTCTTTTCAGCTCTTCCTTAAAAGCTGCAGACTTTTTTCCTTGATCATCGGCTCAAACTCCTAAACCCTAATCAACTATCCCAAAATCACCCATCACGATGTCCTCCAATCGTTACACCACAATTCCCCCACCCATCTCACCACAACCCTCCGCCCCCTCCCTCTTCTCCACCCTCCGTCCATGGCAACTCCTACTAGACCCTTCGGCTCTCAGCCTCCCCATATCCTTCTCCGAATCCATCCATCGAATCAACCAAAACCTCCGCTACTTCCGCTTAAACTACACCCTAATCATACTATTCATCCTCTTCCTTAGCATCTTGTACCACCCGATCTCCGTACTCATCTTTTTTATCACAATCGCGGCTTGGGTTTATTTGTCTTTCAATCGAAATGAGCCTTTGGTGGTTCTTGATCGGACTATCGATGATAGGTTTGTTCTGGGTTTTCTCTGTTTGTTGACTGTATTTGCTCTGATTCTGGCGAATGTGTGGTGGAACGTCATCGTTTCGGGGATGATTGGGTTTGTGATTGTTTGTTTGCACGCGGTTATCAGGACTCCGGAGGATGAGGAGTCGCTGTATGGGGCATTACTTTCTGATTCGGATAGTCCGAGAGGAAGGTATGCTCGGGTTTGAATTGGAGTGATCATTGGATTTGAGGTGGTAGTCGTGGGTGGAATGGATTTGAATTGGGGAAAATTGAGTTGGGTCAGTTTCTTGATGTTAATTGTTGGGTAATTTTTATATTATGGTAGTTTTACTGTTGCATAAATTGAAAGTTGGTGACATTTGGCAATTGGTATAGTTCCATGCTATACATTGAAATGATCAAATTACTTCACGTTTTGTATATTGCTTAATGGTTTATTCGGGTTTGAAAGTTCATGCACATTCACTGCATCTGACATCACCTATGCTAAAATTTGTTGTGCCATATGCATTGATGTGGATGAAGTTTCAACATTTGTATTGTGATTGTTTCATGCTAGCCTTTGTTTGATATCATCTGCTTGATTTGAGTATGGTTTATAATTCACTATTTGCAATAGGAATTAAGCAAAATACTAAACAGAAGAGAAACCTGATGCAAAATATGAGATGAGAAGCCATTGTGGGCATTTGGAGAATTAGTTGTACACAACCTTGTCCCGTATACAGGAAGGTTATCAGCAGCAACATATTGATATGGATTCAATATATTGCATTCAGTAACCTCTGTTTTCTTCTGGCATACAAGTTTGTATGATATACATAAACAGTTACATATGTTACTGACGTTGGAGAGAAATTTTACGTTTCTTATGCATGCCTCACAAAATACAGAGGAGAATATGAAGAATATTCTATTTCGGGAATCTTCTTTCTCAATCTTCTAAATTTGTGTTCGAAGGAAATGGAATTTGTGAAACAATCTGAACAAACTCATTTCTGATACGCGGGATTGAATTCTTGGGTATTGTGTTTTTCTCTCCGAAAGAAATAAATTACTGAGGTGAGTGTCTGCATGTCCATTAGTAGTCACTGTTAGCTATATTTACAATTCTTGGGGCACTGGCTGAATTATTCTTGAAGTTTATATATGACATCAAACTGCTTTCCTGTTGTGATAAGTTGGTATTTATTCACCTTGGTTAACACTTAGTCAGCATAATGATGCTTGTATGTGTTGATAACATAAGACCTTGACATATCATGTCTCGCATTCGGTTTATATGTAACAGTCTTGTTTGTTTTCTATTAATCTTCCCGGTGGAGTTGTGGCGTGGACTTAACACACATGTATTTGTTAGAGTCGTGCCTTGTTATTCTGCATCTATTGTCCTCCTTTATGATTTAGTTTTATTACAATGACGTACCTCTAGTGAATGTTGAAGTTCAACGTTTTCACTCGAGTTGTTCGTACAATGGTCAAATTGGGTTCGTGTTGTATTTTTGTCGTGTCATACTGAAATGTTTTCAACCCATACTTGACCTATTTATATATAGTCATGTATCTTGGGGGTTGTGTCGTTTATGACTGGTGTTGTGTCGATTTATTTGTCAAGTCAGTCTAGTTGTCAATTTGGTTATGACCAAAACTCTTTAATACTAAACGCACATTCCATATTTTCATCTTGGTTTCGTGTCATATTAAATTAGAACAAATTAGTACCCACCCATGCCATGGTGGTTTCTTCTTTTGAAGAGTTAATTGGTGTGCTTCTTGTCATGTGGGCTAAAATAGCTCTGATTCTAATTTCTTTTCGTTCCCGCATTGCAAGTAGAAAGCAAAATTAGACGGTAGAATGTGGTTCCTTACTGATAAATTGGAAAAGATGTTTCAACAACTTTTATTTTTCCAAATGTAGCAAAGTTCAAATATGATTTTGTACTTTCACATCATATATAAAATTAGGGTCGATTAATTATGAGTCACAGAACTAGTCTTGCCATATTTTGGGGTAAGACCACATCCATGTTTATAATGATCTTTTCTTGATTATACGGTGTGACGAAAATCTTATGGAGTGGGTTACCTTTTCTATGTGGTAATATGAATCTCTAGTGGGCAAGTTTTCAATAGCATTCATCTTTGTAATGATCTACACGTTATTGGTCTTCAATTATTCTTTACATCTTCTGACAAGGAGACTTTACACGTTATTGAGCTGTATATATGTTACTATGCCAAGGAGTCGATTACATTCTTGATAGTATTATTTAGAATCATAATATTGGTTGCAGTTTATAGATAACAATTCATTGGATTAGAAAACTAGGTTAAATGATTAGGTATAAACGGCATTATTGTAAATAAAGTATGGAGAATACCATGACTAAGATTAATAAATTAAATTTAAATAATATTATTGAAAATAGAGACGTACTAATCGTCAAACGTAGATGCCAAATCAAAGTTGCCACGTCTTACTAATCTAGCCTTCGACAAGGTGAAAGGCAAGTGAAGAAATGAAACATGAGCCAAGAAACAAATTACCAGATAGACCAAGCATAAGAGGAGACAGATGAGCTGTTGCTCCCCTGAGCATCTCAACCACCACCACTATTGTCACCTTTATCTCCACCTCCGTTGGCAACACCCCTGTCTCCTCCTCCACTGCCACTGCTACTGCCGCCACCTCCATCTTCATCTCCACTTCCACCTCCACCGCCTGGGGCAGCTGTTGAATTTAGGAGGAGGCAGATAACTGTGAGCAAAATCACAATTTTCGAAAGCAAATTAAAAATGCTAAATTACATTGTTGGTGTTTTCCCAATATTTGCTCAATCTCATTTTCGTCCTCCACTTTTTATTGCGTTATTATAGTAATTAAAGCTCTTGTTTTATTTTGGAAGAATATACTTTGACCCCCCTTAACTATGAACTCGATTTCACTTGACCCCTTGAATTATTTGATTTTTCACATTTCTCTCTCCACTACTTAAGTTATTTTAAATTGTCCCAAACTCAAACGTCCGCTTTCTTTTTGCACAAAAACTAGCCACATATCGAGGTAAAATGAAAAAAAAAACACATACTTCAGGAGAAAAGTAAAATAACTTTTCATTAAATTCATAATAAACGTTAATAATTGATCCTTCGTAAATTGTAAAACGAGAATATTGTTCATTGAAGTATAAAAACAGGCATACATAATTAATTATTCACCATTGACAAGAAATCAAGGTATTGTTTGTTATTAATCAAGTCGCATACAAGGAATAGTGCAATTGAACAAATGAAACATAAACCATGAAGGAAATGGCCAAATAGGGCCACACAAACGAGGAGACAAATGAATTGCTGCCACTGCCACCATCAGGTCCATCACCCCCCATCGTCACTGCCACCTCGACCTCCGCCTCCACCTCTGGTAATACCTCGGCTACCGCTACTGCCTAGACCACCACGAACACCACTTCCTCCCACACCACCTCCGGTGCCACCACCACCACCATCACCCCCATCTTCAGTAGTTCAATCAAAGACTTGAACATTCAAGACTCCAAGTGGATATTGTTTTAATATCAAAGGATTAGGCCAAGAAAAAAACAGCTCATCAAGGCTTTTCTTATAATTTGTTTCTTCCCAAGTTTTTTTTTTTTTTTTGTTGATAAACAGACAAACTTAATAAGAATTTTTTATGCCTTACATATGCAAATAAATTCTTTATCCATTATATTATTTTTTGGTGACCTAATTCATAATTATTGTTGTCTTGAATCATTGAATCTCCTGAAATGAATTGCATATTTTATTCCATTACCCTAAGCCACCTACCATATATTCTATTTTTTTTTTTTTTATCAAAAACTATTATGGAGAGAAGGTGACAAAGTTTGAATCCACGACATTAAAGTTCCGTTTGATACGATGAAAAAATGGAAGGATAGAAAGTTAGAAGGATGAAAAGTTAGAGAGATAAATAAAATATCATGTTTGGTAAGGAAGAAAACTAAGAAAGATGAAAAAGTGGATGAATTAACATTCCTTCTAACTCTGTAAAATCAATTCCTCTAAAATTGGAAGGAAAGTGGATGAAAAATTAATTATTTGTATTGAGATGTATCTTATTTGTCTGTCTTTTGATATATACATATATTATGTATACATTAATTTCATATAAAAAAATAAAAAAATATGGATATATATATTTTAAAAAAATTTAAAAATAAAAATAAAATTTAAATTTTAAAATTAAACAAAAATATTTTTTCCATCTTAACTAGGGGTAAAAATTTTTGACTCAACAAGATGACACGACTCAAACTTGACACGAATTTTATGACACGAACTTAATTATAACTTGACATAACTTAAAAATGACCTGACACGCGAACAAGAAATATAAACGACTCATATTCAATTCAACCCGTCAAACTCAAAATTGACACCATCATCCCGTTTATTTAAAAATAAATATTTTCTTTATTTTCTCGTTTGTAGGGTACCACAAAACTAACATGTTTAATTAGTATTATATACATAAAATATTAATTATTTGTAACTATTTATTAAGCACTGACATAATTATTATATAAAAAAATATTTTTAATTATTATTATTATTATATTTATTTAAGTTAATTTTTAGTTTGTAGAAAAAATATGAACATGAATTCAATTAAGTAAAAATAGAATATTAACGTTAAATTTTTTATTCAAAGTTTATGTGGGTCAACATGAATACGACACGAAAATAAACAGGTCAACTCGACATGACACAATTAATTAAATAAGTTGAGTTATGTTTGACTTATGTTCGACACAAATCCGTAATGACTTAATATAAATCTGACACGATATGACTCGATTGTCACCCCTAATTTTAGCCAGCAAAAAAAAAAATTAATAATTTTTATTTTCCATTCATCTTACCAAACACAAAGAAAGGAAAGTGTGTCATTCCTACTTTCCTTCTTTGAAAAATAAAAAATGTATAATTTTTGTTTTTCATCCTTCCTACCAAACAGAGCATAAAAATTAACGACTAACTAGTTGTTTTATGTGATTGTTGGGGACCATACCCACAATTTTTGCCGCCTTTGTCCTTTGTATATGCTTAAAATGATTTGGACTTTAATTCAAGAAAATGTAGATTTCAATGAGAGATTAGATATACATATATGCATACATATGTATGTATTTGTGTGTCTATATTTATATACAATCTAAGGATAATCAGTGTCTGAGGCACAATGTAACATAAGTAAGAAGTGATAGATTTGGAGTTGAAGAAAAATTCAATATGAATGATTTTGAGAAAGGTGTTGATAACCATTGAATGAGTCTATTTAAAATCGTTGAATGAGTTTATTGAAGTCAACCTTATTTTGTATTATAGATTAGACCCTACGTAAATAATGGTGGTGTATCCATATTTGTGTCTTAGGCTACAATCATGAAGTTCTTTTTAAGTTTTTTTCTTTTTGATTATAAGTTCTTTTTAAGTTAGATACAATGATATTATTTATCTTTTTTACCTGAAAATCCAAGGGAAAAAAGATGGAACAATGCATGGAAATTAAGATGAAAAGCGAATCCAACAAGCACTAAGCAAAGAAGCATAAGCAAGACCCTAAATGAGTTCTTTTGGACCTTGAGTGATTTAGGTAATTTTAGCTGTTACTCACCCTTTTATTGATTCAGTAGTTTTTTTTTTGTTTTGGGTCTTCTATTGGTCTTGTTGTTAGATCACTTATGATTTGATAAATTTTAGTGGGTTTACAACGTGGCAGGTTAGTTTGCTTTTCCTTAGGTTACTTTTGATGTGTTAGACTTTCAATTTTGTTAATACCATGTCTAGACATGTACCAAACTGGCTGAGTGATAATTATAATCAATTTATACATCATTATAGTGACAATCAGTTCAATTCAGTGGACATCTAATGATGCATGCATTTCATGTGGCTCAATCTATGCAGTTTTGTGACACTGTTAACTGGGGCTATATACATATCGTTAGGGAATGACTACTTCTTCCCTTTAATTAATCCATCCTCCATCTCTTATGGTCACTCAACCATGAACTAATATTGTCCTTCAAATCTTAATATATTTGTTTAGCTCTTTCATTTTTTCGTTCAAATCTCATTAGTCAAAATATAAACCACAACAAATGAACTTGTAAAATGATAACATAAAATGTTAACAACCAATAATTTAATATTTTTCACGTGCAATGCACGTGTGCACCTATTAGTGTGATAAAAGTCGATACGACACCAAAATTTTGTCTTTGGTACAGTAGACAACTTCGTGAAATAGATATGAAACAAAAGATAAAGATTAAATTTTTTTTTCACCCTCAGTGCCACCCCTACTTTCACCTCATCATAACAAAATTTAAATATAAAATAGTTAATACAGATTATAAGAAATTTAAAGATGAAGTAGTTATCAAAAAATTAGAAGTTGTTACATTGGTCATATGTCAAAATTCTATTGAAAGAGGTAATTCAAAATTAAAAAAAAAAAAGAATTTGGAGAGGGAAAGCTATTGAGACACTCCCTCTCTTAAATTGATTCTTCTTAGTATACAGTATAGATACAAAGTCTACATTGAGTTCTTTTATTATTTGTACTTTTGCTTAATTAATTTTGTCTTTGATAATTTGTTTGGATTTGCGATATTGATGTAATGGAAAAGTTTCAATGTTTACACATACTCTACTCTACTTTGTCAATTGCAATTTGCTTGATCCAAACTGACAATCAATGATTTTATCTCAAAAGACTTGCATAACCAATGAGTTTCTTACTAATATGTCACAATATTTTATATATATTTTTTACAAGTACGAATACAATTATATGAATATGAATATATCACTTATCGTGTATTGGTGAAGGGTTCATATATATAGTGGGTCCATTTGAATTTATGTTGGGCAATAGTCAATAAAAAATATAAAAAAAGGGATCATGATGGAAAATTATGTTTTACAAAATAAAAAATCTTTCTTAAGATGAACCTAACATAAGGATGGAAAATCTTTTTCATCGATTTTCTAACTTTGCAATTTTTCATCATTCATGTCAAACAAACCATAAGTGACTTACTTTAAAGCGACACAACCTTTCTATTTTGAATGTGAAAAGACACTTTATTTGTAAATTGCTTTTAGTATTTTCTGTCTAAAATAAACTTGATAGGATAAAAACATTTATTTGGTATTTTACATAGAAAATGTCTTTTTTTTTCATTTCTTTTCATAATAAAAGAATTAAAGGATTCATAACTTAATTTTATTAGCATAAGGATTGAGCAGTGGTTCTTTAATTTGAGGGGCCTATCATGATGGCTACTTCATTTCAAATCGAGATTCAATTCGCAAACAGATTGAGTAAATCTTACATCACCTGGATTGATTAGTACTCAACAATAAACCGAGTTGATGGGATATCAACATTACACAACTCAATTCTCAAGCCATAAAACTCCAAGAAGCTTGAAAAACATCAAGCTCTGGTCCAATCCAAACAATAACTACCCAGGAAGAAGACATCAGTTTTTTTTTTTTCTTTTTTTTTTTTGAAAACAAGCTCACCCCTTTACTCATAAAGTAATATACAACAAATATTTCCGTATGACTACAAAAAAAAAAACAGCTAAAATATTTACAACACACCATTTAGCCCTGCACGGCCAAAGCTTGCAAGTGCTCAACAAAAACTTGCAAGCTTACATCATCAGTGAATATAATGTCCGAACCATCAGTATATGTTGAGTTTTGTGTAACAGATGGATTCAACTTAGCAAGAAGAAACCTTGCCTGACTGCTGTGTTGGT